GACTGAGAAAACTGGTTAAAAAAAGCCTCCTAAAGGTGGGCGGAGCAAAGTGCCTTTGTGGGTCAAGGGCTATAAAGCTGTATGTATGTTTTTTTGGTGGGAGAGCTCTCCATGATTAAAAATACAGATCATTCTTGCTGGTTGTGGACCTTGAATCATTTATGATTATAACCAGAGCCTTACAACCCCTGGTAATGATTCAAGCTTAGGTTGAATTAGAGATATAAATTCTCATGACAACACCTCCCTCTGCAACTGGATCCTGGACTTCCTGACGGGCCGCCCTCATGTGGTAAGGGTAGGTAACAACACATCTGCCATGCTAATCCTCAAAACGGGGACCCCTCAGGGGTGCGTGCTCAGTCCCCTCCTGTACTCCCTGTTCACCCATGACTGTATGGCCAGGCACGACTCCAACACCATCATTAAGTTTGCCGACGACACAACAGTGGTAGGCCTGATCACCGACATCGATGAGACAGCCTATAGGGAGGAGGTCAGAGACCTGGACGTGTGGTGCCAGGATAACAACCTCTCCCTCAACGTGATCAAGACAAAGGATATTATTGTGGACTACAGGGAAAAAAAGAGGACTGGGCACGCCCCCATTCTCATCGACAGGGCTGTAGTGGAACAGGTTGAGAGCTTCAAGTTCCTTGGTGTCCACATCAACAACAAACTATCATGGTCCAAACACACCAAGACAGTCATGAAGAGGGCACGAAAAAAGCCTATCCCCCCTCAGGAGACTGAAAAGATTTGGCATGGGTCCTCAGATCCTCAACAAGTTCTACAGCTGCACCATCGAGAGCATCCTGACTGGTTGCATCACCGTCTGGTATGGCAACTGCTCGGCCTCCGACCGCAAGGCACTACAGAGGGTAGTGCGTACGGCCCAGTACATCACTGGGGCCAAGCTTCCTGCCATCCAGGACCTCTATACCAGGCGGTGTCAGAGGAAGGCCCTAAAAATGATTAAAGACTCCAGCCACCCTAGTCATCGACTGTTCTCTCTGCTACCGCACGGCAAGTGGTACCTGAGTGCCAAGTCTAGGTCCAAAAGGCTTCTTAACAGCTTCTACCCCCAAGCCATAAGTCTCCTGAACAGCTAATCATGGCAACCTGGACTATTTGCATTTTTATTTATTTTTTATTTTTTCTCATCTATTTTTTACTTAACACTTTTTTTTATTTTCTTAAAAACTGCATTGTTGGTTAAGGGCTTGTAAGTAAGCATTTCACTGTAATGTCTACACCTGTTGTATTCGCCACATGTGGCAAATAACATTTGATTTTAATTGATTTGATTTGACATAGACATTAGCCTAATATATTATAAATTAGGTATCTAAAATTAAAGCTAATCCATTTAAACAAATAAAGTTCAATTGTCATACTTGAGTATGAAGCAAATGCTATAGCCTACATCAAATTCCTTCTATTAAGCAAACCAGTTAGAACAATTATTATTATTCACATTTTTTAGGGGGTAGATCAGCGTTAATATTGCAGATAGATTGTAGCGTACATCAATGTAATTGTCAGCATCATTTCCAATCCCCCATATATTTTTTGGTAAATATATACAGTGAGGGAAATAAGTATTTGATCTCCTGCTGATTTTGTACGTTTGCCCACTGACAAAGACATGATCAGTCTATAATTTTAATGGTAGGTTTATTTGAACATTGAGAGACAGAATAACAACAAATAAATCCAGAAAAACGCATGACAGAAATGTTATGAATTGATTTGCATTTTAATGAGGGAAATAAGTATTTGACCCCTCTGCAAAACATGACTTAGTACTTGGTGGCAAAACTATGTTTCTTGTAGTTGGCCACCAGGTTTGCACACATCTCAGGAGGGATTTTGTCCCACTCGTCTTTGCAGATCTTCTCCAAGTCATTAAGGTTTCGAGCCTGACGTTTGGCAACTCAAACCTTCAGCTCCCTCCACAGATTTTCTATGGGATCATGGTCTGGAGACTGGCTAGGCCACTCCAGGACCTTAATGTGCTTCTTCTTGAGCCACTCATTTGTTGCCTTGGCCGTGTGTTTTGGGTCATTGTCATGCTGGAATACCCATCCACGACCCATTTTCAATGCCCTGGCTGAGGGAAGGAGGTTCTCACCCAAGATTTGACGGTACATGGCCCCATCCATCGTCCCTTTGATGCAGTGAAGTTGACCTGTCCCCTTAGCAGAAAAACACCCCCAAAGCATAATGTTGTTTGGGGTCATAGGCAGCATTCCTCCTCCTCCAAACACGGCGAGTTGAGTTGATGCCAAAGAGCTCGATTTTGGTCTCATCTGACCACAACACTTTCACCCAGTTCTCCTCTGAATCATTCAGATGTTCATTGGCAAACTTCAGACGGCCCTGTATATGTGCTTTCTTGAGCAGGGGGACCTTGCGGGCGCTGCAGGATTTCAGTCCTTCACGGCGTAGTGTGTTACCAATTGTTTTCTTGGTGACTATGGTCCCAGCTGCCTTGAGATCATTGACAAGATCCTCCCGTGTAGTTCTGTTCTGATTCCTCACCGTTCTCATGATCATTGCAACTCCACGAGGTGAGATCTTGCATGAAGCCCCAGGCCGAGGGAGATTAACAGGTCTTTTGTGTTTCTTCCATTTGCGAATAATCGCACCAACTGTTGTCACCTTCTCACCAAGCTGCTTGGAGATGGTCTTGTAGCCCATTCCAGCCTTGTGTAGGTCTACAATCTTGTCCCTGACATCCTTGGAGAGCTCTTTGGTCTTGGCCATGGTGGAGAGTTTGGAATCTGATTGATTGATTGCTTCTTTGGACAGGTGTCTTTTATACAGATTACAAACTGAGATTAGGAGCACTCCCTTTAAGAGTATGCCCCTAATCTCAGCTCGTTACCTGTATAAAAGACACCTGGGAGCCAGAAACCTTTCTGATTGAGAGCGGGTCAAATACTTATTTCCCTCATTAAAATGCAAATCAATTTATAACATTTTTGACATGCGTTTTTCTGGATTTTGTTGTTGTTATTCTGTCTCTCACTGTTCAAATAAACCTACCATTAAAATTATAGACTGATCATTTCTTTGTCAGTGGGCAAACGTACAAAATCAGCAGGGGATAAAATACTTTTTTCCCTCACTGTAGGCTTCCAGCTTATACATACTATATACATTTTACGGACACAATCTATTTTACAATGGTTATCTTTTGTTTGTTATTACTCCTATCCTTCCGCTATCCTCACAATTGTATTGTTTTAATTTTATTTACGGACAGCCAGGGGCACACTCCAACACTCGCAATATTTTGTATTTGTGTTTGGAGTCCGCAAGAGGCAGTATATTGATATATTGATAGGTGCATTAGTGATGCTCGGGTTGACTCAACATGCCATGGGGCGGGCAGGTTTAGGATAATGAAATATTGTGTGGATGAAGGGAAGGTGGGTGGCGACTGGGTTGAGTAAAGAAAAAACAATACCTTAAAAAATCAATAAATGTATAATTCTTGTGCATTTTATAGGTAGCCTATCTATAGGCTACATTTAAGATTTCTTTCATTATTTGAGGCTATATGGCATTAGCTCATAAAAGCAATTTATGCTTCATCCGAAAATGTGATCAGAGGCTCCATATAGAGGGTGTGACGCAATTGCGGAGCCTGGAGGCATGCAGAGGCCAAATTGAGCTCCCTACCGCATCGCCGTGCGGCTCCCAAATGTTGTAACAATGCGGAGGGCTCTGTATAGCTCCTTAAAAACTGGGTGGTTCAAGCCCTGAATGCTGATTGGCTGAAAGCCGTGGTTTATCAGACCGTATACCACCGGTATGACAAAACATTTATTTTTACTGCTCTAATTACATTGGTAACCAGTTTATAATAGCAATAAGGCACCTCTGGGGTTTGTGGTATATGGCCAATATACCACGGTTAAGAGCTGTATCCAGGCACTCCGTGTTGAGTCGTGCATAAGAACATCCCTTAGCCGTGGTATATTGGCCATATACCACACCCACTCGTGCATTATTGTTACAATATAGCTCTGCATTGACATGATTGGTTGGCTTTAGAAGTTGTCCCTTTTCAGTTTTAGAAAAAGTGACTGCTAAACGCTAACCCCCATTCGTATAAGCTGGTAGCATAGCTAGCATACAGAAATTGGTGGTGGTAGTCAAAGTCGTTTTTAACTGTAATGCAGTTGATTGATGACGATGGCATAAACATGTATTGGGGTAGACATCCATACAAGCTTTAAACTCTGATTTTTACCTCAACAGTGTGAAATACACATATAAACAATAGCTTAATTGCTGGGGGGCAATGGAGAGATTCGGGATGGAGATGCAGGTGGGAAAATGGTGGAGCCTTTTTACTTCATGCTATCATTGCTGAGCTCCTATTTCAAGCACCGGGAAACACTCCAACATCTTAGAAGAGGTAAGGTCTTGTCTTTTCGTTTAGCCAGTTGCTTGTAGGCTAATAAGCTGGATGGCTAAAGAGATTAGACCTGAATCATTATCAGTGGTGCGGTGCAGACCAATTTTTTGGATGCATATGACAGTTCCCCTTCTGCAGAGACCTCATCCCCCACTGCAGACATCAGATTGACCATGCATAGCTTTTAGATATTGGACCATATTGCTGTCCTGCCTGAGAATTCAAAATGTAATGAGTAGCCTACTTTTGGGTGTCAGAGAAAATGTATGGGAGTAAAGAAGTACATCTTTTCTTTAGGGATGTATTGGAGTAAAAGTAAAAGTAGGCCTAGTAAAAAATATAAATAGTAAAGTCAAGTACAGATACCCCCCAAAACTACTTAAGTAGTACTTCAAAGTATTTTTACTTAGTTACTTTACACCACTGATTGGACATCAGCCACTGATAGGGGACTATACCTTCCTTAGGACCCAGCGGATAACCATCAGGCAACGTGAACTTGATAAAGGAAAGAGGCGAAACTGGGTTCGTTGACGTCAGCTACGTGTGACTATTTTAATTTAAACAGGACAAGATGGCGGAGGTGAGGCTGAACGGGCTGAGGGAACGGAATCATTTCGGACAAAACCACAAAAGACACGTCTTTGACGAAGGTAAGGTTTTATATAAGAATAAAATATGGATATGTGCTTGAGACTGACAGTGACAAACTGCAATTTACCTCGTTTGGCGTTGTTTCTCCTGAGTGTCCTAACCTCCAGTAGCCAAGCTATGTTTTTACTTTTACAGGGACCCAGCCAGTGAAAGGTGTATTGTATTGTGTAGCTTAGCTGGCTAGCTATACTAGCTAATTCGTCCCGGCTTGTGCAGACCAGCGGTCACTCACCTGGCCTGGTCGGTCATTTCAGACCGCGCGTGTTGCCCGTTGTTCCGGGGTTCAGCCCCAGACAGTGGGATACTTTTTTGCATTTCATACGAGAGTTGTAATTGATATTTATCTACGTTTGTAGGGACATGTGTTGGCTAAATAATGTAATGTTATCGAACCAGCTGTCACTAACAGTTCCCTTGCAGCAAGCCTTCTAGTCTAGTTCTCGAAAACCCTTCTCTCCATAGGGTTTTCAGCGATTAGTTTCGCTCACTGCTGGCTTCGTGTGAACTACAACACTAGGTTTCTGACGCTGGGTTTCAACGTTTATTAACGTCAATCATCACTTGCAAAGCGGTTTTCAAAATATACTGCCATTATCTTTCAAATCAGCAAGAAGGATAAAAATATACAATTATTGTAGCAGATTTGCACAGATCCATACCCTGTGTGCCTCCCAGTTGATGAACTACACTTCTTCCCCAGTTATGCTTACACAAGCCCTGACATTCCGACCTGAACAACACTGACTACGTGATTATTATTTTTTACCTCGTTTTTTTTCTTGAAAGCACAATGACCATCCAAGTCCAGTAAAATAAAAAAGCAAATTATTTCAATTTATACTCATCAACTGATCTATTTTGTTATCAAAGCTCGAGTTTTGATATATAATATGATCTGAGAATAACAATATTGTCAGGCCAGGCAGATAGCCAATATGCTGTGATAATGTATTAGGCCTGCCTACTGCACAGAACTGAACAATTTTTATAAGGTTAATGTTGACATGTTTAAAAATATATATAATTTGAACGGTAGATCTTGGCTTGCTTTTTGACTGCGAAAGTCATCTTTACTCAAAAAAGGTTGGTGACCACTTGTTCAAAGGCTTGATTTTGTCATACTCGAGGCACTGTTTGTTCAGATAGGAGAGAAAGGCCAGTGCCTCCTGCGCGCCGCAACATTGCCCACCTTGCAAACTGAGGTAACATTTTGAAACTATTTAACCATAAACATAATTGTTTAAAACCTGGGTGTTTTTATTTTGAGGCATGTCTTACCGTGTTCAGAACTTAGGCATGTTAAGGGTATTCTTTTAACACTTACTCATATACTATTGACACCAGTATTTCTCATGTTTTCAACCTTCTTTCGTTGTCCAGCAGCCAAAGACACAATCCTAGTCATATGAACAACCCATGCTAGTTGTTGCATCTTTAGATCTTCCCTCTTTCAAAATTTCGAAAGGTTTTATTAAATTTATGTTCATCTCATGAAACTGCTCGCATTTGCAGTGCACATTGGAGGACAGTGTTTTCCCACTAATTGCATTTTGGAACATTCACGCTTATAGCCAGCTGCCTGCCGTGTGCGCATAGCTGCGCTTGGAATATAAAGAAGTAGCCTAATAGTTTATCAACATTTTAAGATAAATGTTCTGATCTGTTGCATCAGCCTCATTGCTTTTAAAAGTTTTTTTGATATACAGTGGTTGTATTAATTTCGGCTCTATCGTCCCGCAATTGTCCCAGAGTCTGTTTGGAATATTTATTTCTCGCATGGAACGACAAGCTGACTAATTGAATAGGTCAACTTTTGTACTATAGGGATAGTAGATTGACAAAGGCTAGTGCTTTTGCTGTTCATTACTCATCTTGTTGGCTGACAAAGTAAATGTGGACAGTTCTTCTAACGTCTTCAATATGCACCTCAGAATTTGATAAGGATGCACACCGTTGCATCCATTTTACATTTACATTTTTAGTCATTTAGCAGACACTCTTATCCAGAGCGACTTACAGGAGCAATTAGGGTTAAGTGCCTTGCTTAAGGGCACATCGACAGATTTTTCACCTAGTTGGCTCGGGGATTAGAACCAGCGACCTTTCAGTTACTGGCACAACGCTCTTACCCACTAAGCTACCTGCCGCCCCGACGTGTCGGTCTTTACTAGTAGCCTACTTCGGAGTTGTGATGCCTGTGTGAAGGACCCGATCACGTGACGGGCATTGGCTAATAAGAATTGAGATCTGAGAGCGCAAGATGCTGCATTTAGACAAGGGACGCAAAAACGTCATACCAGTCGCCATAACGGGACAAGAAAGCAAGAAAGACGGTGACGGCAAAAGCAAGCCAGCACGACAATTTGCGCTGCTATGGTGATTTCAGTAAACAGAGTAAGCTTAATATATGGAAAAGGTAAGTCTTTGCTCCTCTGGTTTTGCATGCCCATTCTGTATCCTTGTCAGATTCCTTGATTTGAAGCAAGGAGCAAACACCAGATGTATTTTCTCTCCCTCTCAGGTGCAACAGCTGTCATCAACTCTATTGTAACATGATAGATACAGTGCCCTCCACTATTATTGGCACCCCTGTTTAAGATGTGGTCGAGGACTTCCAAAAATTCTCCTTTTTTTTTTTTAACAACATAGAACCCAAATGCAAAAAAAGAGGAAAATCCAACCTTTAATTTAAGTACATTACTTTGGTGGTTAAAAAAAAATCACACATTTAGAAAAAAAATAACTTGAAATCATGTGTCCCACAATTATTGGCACCCCTAACAATTCCGCTGAAAATTTTAATTGATTTTTTTTAAATATATTTTTCTGTAGTTGCTAAAGTTGCTCAAGGTATCTAGGAACTTTTAATTAGTAATTCATGACTTCCTGTTTCCCTGGGGTATAAATATGACGTGACACAGAGGCCTAATTCTCTTACCCATTTGTCAACATGGCAAAGACAAGAGAACACACCATTCAAGTAAGGCAGATTTGTGTCGACCTTCATAAGTCAGGCAATGGCTACAAGAAAATAGCCACTCGCCTTAACTTGCCCGTATCTACAGTCAGAGGAATCATTAAGAAGTTTAAAACAACTGGAACAGTGACAAACAAGGCTGGAAGAGGTCCCAAGTTTATCTTGCCACAACGCACAGTGAGGAGGATGGTAAGAGAAGTAAAAAAAAGTCCTAAGCTCACTGTCACAGAATTGCATCAAAGAGTGGCATCTTGGGGTCACAAAGTCTCCAAAACAACCATCAGACGCTCTCTACATGCCAACAAGCTGTTTGGGAGGCATGCAAGGAAAAAGCCTTTTCTCACTAACACTCACAAACGTAAACGTCTGGAGTTTGCTAAGCGGCACTGGGACTTCAACTGGGATCGTGTGCTTTGGTCAGATGAGACTAAGATTGAGCTTTTTGGCAACAAACACTCTAAGTGGGTCTGGCGTAAAACAAAAGATGAGTATGCCGAAAAGCACCTCATGCCCACCGTGAAGTATGGTGGAGGATCTGTGATGCTGTGGGCCTGTTTCTCTTCCAAAGGCCCTGGGAACCTTGTTAGGGTGCATGGCATTATGAACGCTTTGAACTACCAGGACATTTTAAATAAAAACCTGATGGCCTCTGCCAGAAAGCTGAAGATGGGTCGTCATTGGGTCTTTCAGCAGGATAATGATCCAAAACATGTGGCAAAATCTACACAAAAATGGTTCAGCAGTCACAAACTCAAGGTCCTCCCATGGCCATCTCAGTCCCCAGACCTCAACCCAATCGAAAACCTGTGGGGCGAGCTAAAGAGGAGAGTGCATAAGAGAGGACCCAGGACACTGGATGATCTAGAAAGATTGTGCAAAGAAGAATGGTCAAAGATCCCTCTCTCTGTGTTCTCCAATCTTGTGAAATGTTATAGGAGGAGATTAAGTGCTGTCTTGTTGGCAAAAGGGGGTTGTACAAAGTATTAACATCAGGGGTGCCAATAATTGTGGGACACATGATTTCAAGTTATTTTTTCTTCTAAATGTGTGATTTTTTGCATTTGGGTTCTATGTTGTTTTAAAAAAAAGGTGAATTTTTGGAAGTCCTCGACCACATCTTAAACAGGGGTGCCAATATTTGTGGAGGGCACTGTATGTGTAGCCTTAGCTACATTTTCTCAGCTGTTCTAGTCTATTGGTTAGCTAACATCTTTCTCACTGAACAACAGTCACAATCTGGCACAATTATTTGTGTACCAATGTTTTTGGAATGTTGATGTGTACAAAAATCAGTCAGCAGGAAAATTGAAGATTCTGAAGATAACCCAGGTGTTGTTTTGGACGTTTCAGTAATGGGTGTCTTTTAAATCTGTTAGCCTTGTGACTTGATGCTTGTATGAGTGCAAAATACAGCTGGTTTTGTTTGTGTGGCAATAGTTAACACTCACTGGGTCTGCACTTGGTGTGCAGGGGCCTCATTTATAAACTGTGAGTACGTACAAAATATACCCCAAAATGTGCGTGCGCCAGTTTTCACGCAAAAGTTGGCATTTATAACAATTGAACTTGACGTGAGAATGTGCTCACCTCCCCGCAAACTTTAGATCATGCGTATGCACATCTGCTAGTGGTTGAAATATTGTATTGCAAGCTGGCAAGTAAGTATTTTGTGCAAATGGAGGAAATGAAAAAGATTATTCATAAAAAAACTGAAAACAGATTAACAAGAATGCAGTTGAACATTTGCCCTGCTTGACTCCAGTCCAGAAAAAGTGTAGTCTTGGAGTTGGCACCAGTCCGCATGTGTCGCGAAAAAGGAGAGTGTGACTGGGGTTTTGCTTTGAATGAAATGTCCCTTTCCTCTGAAGAAAATTCCCATGTATAGACACGGCTAAGTGTATTGTTGTGGCTTCTCAATGCTTCAGATGTAGTAAATGAGTCAGGGGATAGGGAGAGCATAAATGGAGAGCTGTTTCAGATACTGAGCTGAGATGTAGACCTCCACTGCCTCCATACATGGCCTGCCAATAGACCCTGATCAGGGCTGATACAATGCAATAGGAGAGAACTGTGGGAAGATAAAGGTAATGATAAGCCTGCCAATTTTTTGATCTGTCGCTGTTTGCTCAAAGGTAGAGGGATTGGACTGTGTATTAGCCTAACCTCTAGCTTCCCTCAGCAGCACTCGCATTAAATGGTTTCTTCCCATCAGCGCTATAGGTATGTGGAACCCCCCCACTAGTCCCTTGTAGCAGAACTGTAGCTCAGCAGCCCAGTCCCTGCAGACTAGTGTCTTTTGTCTCTCTCCTATGGCTCCTATAACAGCACTGGCACTTCATTTTGCTGACTACTGCTACTTATTCCACTGCCTTGATAGACACTTGTGTAGAGGGGCCTAGCCCTTGATCATGACTCAGTTCCATTACATTACACAAGTCATTGGATGAAGGCTTCTTCTGTAGGGTGGAGTTTTGTTAAGAGCTGCGACACTCGGTCTGAACATTAACACGCATCGCTTGGTGTACGGTTTTGGAAGCATAATGACCTTATCTTTCATATCGGCGAGAAATAATAAAAAAGGTTAAATTGATACACACCTTTATAGGGTTAGAGTTCCCACACTGCCATATTTCCATGTTACAGCGCTTGTTTAGGGAAAACGGAAGGAAATCAGTGGACTACCTGTGCTAATTAGCGATCTGCTTTTCCGAACACCAGTGTGTAAACGGAAGACAGACACCACAAATGTGTGGACACTGAAATACTGTCGGCTGCAACTGTGCTAAAACTATGTACAGTGTGTATTTTGCATTTTTGAAATTATTGATGTGATATGTAAGTAGAGGGATTTATGTTTCTAGAACCTTACTGCAATTGAGAATCCATTCAGGTTTTAGCTGGTGTATTTGGCTGTTTTGTCTTCAATAGCCAATTTGCCCTTTAAACAGAATGTGTAAGGTCCTTGGACTAAGGAGTAACGTTAGGCTCATTTAGTCCAATATTGGGCTAAGAGGGGCGTATGTTTGGGTTATCCATTTATGCTGGACTGACACGGGATGTTAAGTACCGTTGTTTATATGTGAATAAAGTTGGGAGCAGTCTGGCCACAAGTTAGATGGCCGCCTTACCTGATTCTCCCAGCGAGTCTTCTATTTCTCGTCCTGACCTGCTACTCTGCACGTGTTGCAGGTGATTATTAATCAGACTGGTGTAGATTGCATGTCTGCCCATGTGGGGAAATTCTGAGGTGTCAGGAGCTGGGGCTTTCGTCCCAACTCGTTTGTATATAAATTCAGCTTTCGTTTTTAGCCTCAGTGACACTAACTCTGACATGGATGTCTGTCTAGCTGTAGAATACATTTGTAAAACCACTGTTAGTCTATCTGGCTTATTGTTTGTTGTGATTTTAGTGTTTACTTTGACTTGTCTTCTTTTTTTTGTACAGTGTTGTTTATCTAGCGGTCTCAAACCCACAGTGAATGCAGTCTGTTGGTAGACCAGACAGTCACTAGACCAGAATCAGCAGGATGCCTCTTCAGTGTAAGCTCTGCTCCAGAGAATGCTCCGCAGAATACTGTCCTGTTCTCTCATACCTTCTGTTCGACAACCCCTCTCCTGGCATCAGCCATAGAGCCCAGTCAGCCCACTGCTGTTTGTCATCGGCAGAGAACAGACCAGCACCAAGCTCTCAAACCTGCCTTACAACAAATCCTCACTCTGAGCTTTGGCTGGGGTTGTTATTAGGTATGATGTTTGTTGTTCGATGTGTTCAAATCACACACGTCTTGTAAGACTGTCAGCTCTGAGGAAAATGTCAATGGGCAGATTGACGTTTTCCTTGGAGTCTCGCTTGGTGTTGCTGGTATGTTGTGAACCATACTTTCCAAGGGTCTCCTTGAAACAACACAACCTGTTTTTTGTTGTTGTTTTTTTGTCTAATTGCGATGGCAGTTGTAAGATGATTGTTTGCATGAGCACTAGCATTCCCAAATACTTGTCATACCAGTTTCCAGGGTGTTGGATAAGTCGTTTGTCTACTATGATAGGAGTGACATCTCTGTAGAGAAATTCCCACACATTTCTAGAAAGGGAACACCTTCCATTAGACACCCTTTCAGGGAAATATTAAAAGGCAAATCTGAAAGCTTTTTGAAATGCTTTCCTTTTGTGACGTTGAGCTCCCTAAGGTAATAGCCTGGATACATATAAAATATACTGTATAGTGTAGATGCTAAAGACATTGGCCCAAATATGACCCATATGAAGACCTAGTACATTAATCTCACAATACCCCTGGCTTTTGTCCCCCTTTCGCCAATACGTTTCCTAATACCCAAGTGTGTGTAATGCAGGCCTGTGGCAATGTACTGGCAGCATGCAACAAATACCATGGCCAGGAATTGTCATGGAATGTTCAATAATATGGACAATGTCTGAGGGTGATTGAAGTTTAGATGCTTGAATCCTCTAAGATGATGAGACTAATGACAAACCTTTTTGAAGAGGACACCGACTACACTTGTCTCTGAAACCTTTCCTTGTGATGTGTAAAGTTTAAACTGCTCTCCCTGCTCTTAACAGCATGAAACCTGTTTGTTCTGTCAGGTGTGGGTGGTGTGGAGGATGTTCCTCTGTCCCTGCCAGATTGGAGGCCTCCTCCCAGGATAGGGCCTCGGGCAGAGGCAGATAGCGAGACAGACGAGTGGGAACAGGCCCCAGAGCAGAGTCACGATAAGGAGCAGCCAATAGAGGAGCCTGTGGTGGGGTTAGAGGAGAAGGCTCGGCCCATCCAGATTGTCCTGGCCCACGAGGACGACCACAAATTTGAGCTGGACACGGAGGCCCTGGAGAAGCTCCTACTGCATGAGGATGTCAGAGATCTCAATGTGGTGGTGGTGTCTGTCGCTGGGGCCTTCCGGAAGGGCAAGTCCTTTCTGCTGGACTTCATGCTCCGATACATGCTCAACCAGGTGAGACCAGGTTCACACTTATACCTGCAGTACATACAATTCACTGTATTATATAGAATACTGATATTTACATTTTAGTCATTTAGCAGACGCTCTTATCCAGAGCGACTTATCAATCAATCAATCAATCAATCAATTTTATTTTATATAGCCCTTCGTACATCAGCTGATATCTCGAAGTGCTGTACAGAAACCCAGCCTAAAACCCCAAACAGCTAGTAATGCAGGTGTAGAAGCACGGTGGCTAGGAAAAACTCCCTAGAAAGGCCAAAACCTAGGAAGAAACCTAGAGAGGAACCAGGCTATGAGGGGTGGCCAGTCCTCTTCTGGCTGTGCCGGGTGGAGATTATAACAGAACCATGCCAAGATGTTCAAAAATGTTCATAAGTGACAAGCATGGTCAAATAATAATCAGGAATAAATCTCAGTTGGCTTTTCATAGCCGATCATTAAGAGTTGAAAACAGCAGGTCTGGGACAGGTAAGGGTTCCATAACCGCAGGCAGAACAGTTGAAACTGGAATAGCAGCAAGGCCAGGCGGACTGGGGACAGCAAGGAGTCACCACGGCCGGTAGTCCCGACGTATGGTCCTAGGGCTCAGGTCTCTCAGTTGGCTTTTCATAGCCGATCATTAAGAGTTGAAAACAGCAGGTCTGGGACAGGTAGGGGTTTCGTAACCGCAGGCAGAACAGTTGAAACTGGAATAGCAGCAAGGCCAGGCGGACTGGGGACAGCAAGGTGTCAGCATGCCCGGTAGTCCTGACGTATGGTCCTAGGGCTCAGGTTCTCAGAGAGAACGAGAGAATTAGAGAGAGCATACTTAAATTCACACAGGACACTGGATAAGACAGGAGAAGTACTCCAGGTATAACCAACTAACCCCAGCCCCCCGACACATAAACTACTGCAGCATAAATACTGGAGGCTGAGACAGGAGCGGTCCGGAGACACTGTGGCCCCATCCGAAGAAACCCCCGGACAGGGCCAAACAGGAAGGATATAACCCCACCCACTCTGCCAAAGCACAGCCCCCGCACCACTAGAGGGATATCCTCAACCACCAACTTACAATCCTGAGACAAGGCCGAGTATAGCCCACAGAGGTCTCCACCACAGCACAAACCAAGGGGGGGCGCCAACCCAGACAGGAAGATCACGTCAGTAACTCAACCCACTCAAGTGACGCACCCCTCCTAGGGACGGCATGAAAGAGCACCAGTAAGCCAGTGACTCAGCCCCTGTAACAGGGTTAGAGGCAGAGAACCCCAGTGGAGAGAGGGGAACCGGCCTGGCAGAGACAGCAAGGGCTGTTCGTTGCTCCAGAGCCTTTCCGTTCACCTTCACACTCCTGGGCCAGACTACACTCAATCATATGACCTACTGAAGAGATAAGTCTTCAGTAAAGACTTAAAGGTTGAGACCGAGTCTGCGTCTCTCACATGGGTAGGCAGACTGTTCCATAAAAATGGAGATCTATAGGAGAAAGCCCTGCCTCCCGCTGTTTGCTTAGAAATTCTAGGGACAATTAGGAGGCCTGCGTCTTGTGACCGTAGCGTACGTATTGGTATGTACGGCAGGACCAACTCGGAAAGATAGGTAGGAGCAAGCCCATGTAACGCTTTATAGGTTAACAGTAAAACCTTGAAATCAGCCCTTGCCTTAACAGGAAGCCAGTGTAGGGAAGCTAGCACTGGAGTAATATGATCAAATTTCTTGGTTCTAGTCAGGATTCTAGCAGCCGTATTTAGCACTAACTGAAGTTTATTTAGTGCTTTATCCGGGTAGCCGGAAAGTAGAGTTACAGTTAGTGAGTGCATACATTTTTATACTGGCCCCCCGTGGGGATCGAATCCACAACCCTGGCGTTGCAAACGCCATGCTCTACCAACTGAGCTACACGGGGCCCCAGAGCTATTTCTCTGACCACGTGACCTGACCAGGAAAAAACTCTGGCCCTACTTCTAGATTAGGCTATATAAACTCAGGGCCCTAAATGTAATCGTTCATTGAGCAGATCAGGTTGAATGAAGATTTTGCTGTGCTAAAAAGGAAGAACCAACTTTGTCTGGGAGCTGTGGTTAAAAGCACATGCTGGCAGCCTCAACAATCTATTATCAAGTCATTAACATAACCCTGAGGGTAGTGTGAATTAAAAGGCGTTATGTAACGCTGCTAACCTTTTCAGGGTCAATCTCTCGGTTGTCGGTACAATACCAACATTTGTAAAGAAGTTTGGCGATCCTGAATAAACCCTTTATTAGAGTCCTGTATTCCCAGATTAATGAGCCACTTACACAAGTGATTGGCTGACGCACATAATGTCCAGCTAGGGGTTTATAAAACTGCTGTAAACGGGAAGTCTGCTAATGGCTCTACATGGATATTATTTGTTATTTTTTCCTTTGGGATTAATTTAGTAGTGTGAAATTCCTTCAGGCTCTTTACTTCCCCTCCTAGACTGTGCTAGATTAATTATCGCTATCTTCAGGTCATTTCACATACACTATATATAAATTAGTGGATTCGGCTATTTCAGCCACGTGTTGCTGACAGGTGTATAAAATCGAGCACACAGCCATGCAGTCTCCATAGACATTGACAAACATTGGCAGTAGAATGGCCTTACTGAAGGTGGCACCGTCATAGGATGCCACCTTTCCAACAAGTCAGTTTGTCAAATTTCTGCCCTGCTGGAGCTGCCCCGGTCAACTGTAAGTGCTGTTATTGTGAAGTGGAAACGTCTAGGTGCAAAGTGGTAGACCACACAAGCTCATAGAAAGGGACCACCGAGTGCTGAAGTGCGTAGCGCGTAAAAATCGTCTGTCCTCGGTTGTAACACTCACTACAGAGTTCCAAACTGCCTCTGGAAGACACGTCAGCACAATAACTGTTCGTCATGAGCTTCATGAAATGGGTTTCCATGGCTGAGCAGCTGCACACAAGCCTAAAATCACCATGCGCAATGCCAAGCATCGGCTGGAGTGGCGTAAAGCTTGCCGCCATTGGACTCTGGAGCAGTGGCAACGCGTTCTCTGGAGTGATGAATCACAATTCACCATCTGGCAGTCCGACGGACTAATCTGGGTTTGGCGGATGCCAGGACAACACTACCTTCCCGACTGCATAGTGTCAACTGTAAAGTTTGGTGGAGGAGGAATAATGGTCTGGGGCTGTTTTTTCATGGTTCGGGCTAGGCCCCTTAGTTCCAGTGAAGGGATATCTTAACACTACAGAATACAATGACATTCTAGTTTATTCCGTGCTTCCAACTTTGTGGCAACCATTTGGGGAAGGCCCTTTCCTGTTTCAGCATGACAATGCACCTGTGCACAAAGCGAGGTCCATACAGAAATGGTTTGTCGATTGGTGTGGAAGAACTTGACTGGCCTGCACAGAACCCTGACCTCAACCCCATCGAACACCTTTTGGATGAATTGGAACGCCGACTACGAGCCAGGCCTAATCGCCCAACATCAGTGCCCGACCTCACTAATGCTCTTGTGGCTGAATGGAAGCAAGTCCCCGTAGCAATGTTCCGAAATCTATTGGGAAGCCTTCCCAGAAAAGTGGAGGCTGTTATAGCAGCAAAGGGAGGACCAACTCCATATTAATGCTCATGATTTTGGAACGAGATGTTCGACAAGCAGGTGTCCACATACTTTTGGTCATGTGTGTATGTATGTCAAATGTGTATGTCAGGAAACTTGGGTAAGGGATATCTTTATACTCTGACAATAATAAAAATTTAAAAAAAATTCCAGCCACCCAAATCATAGACTGTTCTCTCTGCTACCGCACGGCAAGCGGTAACGGAGCGCAAAGTCTAGGTCCAAAAGGCTCCTTAACAGCTTGTACCCCCAAACCATATGACTGCTGAACAATTAATCAAATGGCCACCCAGACTATTTGCATTGACCCCCCCCTGTTTTTACACTGCTGCTACTCACTGTTTATTATCTGTGCATAGTCACTTTACCCCTACCTACATGTACAAATTACCTCGACTAACCTGTACCCCCGCACATTGACCCCTGTATATAGCCTCATTTTTTTTTTTTTTTTGTATTTTTACTTTATTTAGTAATGAACTCTATTTTCTTAACTGCATTCTTGGTTAAGGCCTTGTAAGTAAGCATTTCACGGTAAGGTCTACACCTGTTGTATTCGGCGCATGTGACAAATAACGTTTGATTTGATAAAGCTGCCTCACACTCAATGTCACAGTGTAGACTGCAAGAGTCCCTGCCTTCCTTGGTCTGTTCATCTCAAGGTCTGAGATACAGAATGATCTGAGGACAGAGAAAAACGGGTCACAGTGGGGGCAGAGGAGCAGTGATTGCTTATTGTTGCTTTGAGACAACGATGCACTCAATCTCATCCAGGGTCAGGTTTTCAGGATTGCTCTGTGTCGCACTAGTTCCAGTCCAGAATAAACCGAAAGCACTGCAGAGATTGAGTATCCCCCATGTTATTCTCCAGCAGGTTATAATCTTTAGATGAATAATTTCATTTCCTCCTGGTGTCTGCACTGCACATCTGTGCTCTCTTTTTACGGCCTAGAATTTGAACACTCCATTCCAGTCACGTTTCCTGCTGGAGAGAGAAAGTCTGCTCTTTCGTGTGTGGCAATTTGACTGACTGACTGCCCTCCCCTGACTGGACTGGTTGATGTCCACAGAGGGAGGAGACCGAGAGAAAATGGAACTAAAACTTGTTATGTAAAGTGTGCTCTTGGATTCAAAAACACCGGATTCAAAAATTTGAATCTTTCAATTTAAATTATTATATAAAATTCTTGCTACCAATATAATGTTATTTATATGGGGGATACAATCTTCCCAGCTCTGCAGATTTTGCTGTGAAGAGACAGAATCATTAGATCATTTGTTTTGGTTCTGTCCATTTGTAGCTTGTTTTTGGACACGGGTCCAGGAATGGCTAAAGGATTGCAATATTTACCTGGAACTAACCTTGCAGATAGCATTACTGGGTGATCTGAAAAGTCATAGTCAATCAATCAATAATATAATACTTTTAGCAAAAATGTTTATTTTTAATTCACAATCTGTAGAAGTAATGAGAATAGAAAGGTTCAGAACTTTTGTAAAACATCACAGTACGGTTGAAATATATATGGCAAATAGAAATCCTATATGGATGTTAAGAGATAGATGGGAGGTATTGAATAGAGTTGAAGGATGGGACTAATAACAAATAACAACAAATAATAACAAAGATAGCTAATAATGTAAGCATACTGTGTCCATAATAAGTATATAGGTTGTATGTTGGGAGCTTTTGGGAAAGAGCACAGTTAGAAAGATATGGCATATAGAAGAAAACCGGATGGACATCATGAAAATGATCAGAGAGGTTGAGAGTAGAAGAATATATAATAGTTATTGTAAAATTAACTGTGTCCATAAGGTGTAGATAGATTGTATCTTCTATCAATGTAATTGTCTGCATCACTTCCAATCCCCCATGTGTTTTTATTTTTATATATATACTCCCCTTTATTACTTTTCAACCCCACCATCCTTTCCCTACTTGGAGTAAATTAGTGAACAACAATGCCCAGGCCTCTACTTCCGGTCTATACTTACTATGTGCAATATTAAGCTGATCCACAAAAAAAAAAGTGTGCTCTTGTACGCACTGTAATATCCTTGTTTAATTGCACTGTAGGATCTATTTTTAACCCTTGAGTCAATTTCTGCGGCCCCGTGGAAATAAAGTTAGCATAATACAAAAATCCCTGTAGAAATGTGTCTTTAAGCTAGAGATTTTTTTTTTTGCAAAGGCGCCCACAAGCCACACGACTTGTCTGAAGGTAGCCCGGTACCAGCAAAAAAAAGAATAATATGGAAGCATATATGGAAGTAGAAATATAAATGTGTCCAAAAATAAAGGTTTCCTGATCTTTCTTATATTTATAACTAACCCAAGATGGTTCATCTGTGTTTAGTGGGAGCAAATTAAGCATAGTGGGCTGAACAAGCAAGGAGGTGGGCCAAGCACGAGCTAGCGAGATCCTATTGGCGCGTTGTAGCATGTATGTGCATATTTCCGTTAGGGAACGCCGCCTCTGAAGTGTGCACAAATTCAATATGACCTTGCACTCCTAAACAACGTAATATTTTTTTACAACTTTGGCTAAGCGTCAAGTCTTAAAACGTATAAAAAAAAGTTATAAAACTTAGTGCACTGTATTCGTAACAGATTGTAGTTTTGGGAACAAATGTATTGAGATCTGATGTTTAATGGATGAGAATATTAGAAGAATGTCGGCCAAGTTCCATCCTCTCCCACTACCTGTGACTGGACTTCCTCTCACTACCAAACAGATGCTTCAACTTTATAGCCTGTGACATGTCTGGGTTACCCTTTCTGTCTGTGGTATATCTCTCAGATATAGGACAGACACTTCAAAACAAACTTCCTTTAGATTATAATTTTTTTGACCATCTGTTTTTCCATGCATGAATCTGTTATTCAATGTGTTTTTATGGGCAAATGGCAGTGAGGCCAAATTCAATAATTGTATGTATTTTTTTCTATACCTAACGGGGTCCTAAAATTCTAAATAAAATGTCTAAATGATCCTTGGTATGACCATCTTAAAACAATTCCATATGTTAGCTTAGTTGGGGAAACACTGGGCAGCATACTCTTGTCGTACCAAGGGACTACAGTTTTGTATAATGAGTTACTTTGTCAGTCAAATCACATTGATGTAGGCCTACTATTCCTGCAACAACCTTGCATTTACTTGCATTTTCTAGAGGGATTTGTCGGCACTTGTATTGTAAGGAATAGTAGAGTAACACGCAGACTTCTAATGGCCTTGTTTTCACAATAACAGCAGCTGTTATCCTGTTGAAGGTGTTCTTCAGACTTAAGTTTTTATAATATTTTTTTACTGCCTAGACGAGGGGTGTCATTCATTCCATGGAAGGCCTAGTGTCTTTTTTCTCTTTTTAAATGAAGACCTAGACAACCAGGTGAGGGGAGTTCTTTACTAATTAGTGACCTTAATTCATCAATCAAGTACAAGGGTTGAGCGAAAACACGCAGACACTCAGCCCTCCGTGGAATGAGTTTGACACGTGGCCTAGACTGAACTGAGTCTGACATGTTGCATTTGGCACAGGCTGTTCTGTAAAATTACCCTAATATCTCAGGCGGACCAGTAGTATGAATATGATACCACAGTGACCTCCAGTGGTAGTAAGTTGCAAATGCATGTAATAAATAAATTCCTCCCTTTTTACTGTAGGGCTTTTTCCACATTACCTACATGACATACACACACTTGCCTACAGGATTCAGTAACTTCTTTCTTTGAGGTTTTCTATACCTACCACTCTCTCTGTTTTCTTATTGTCCCCCTCTCCTCTCACAGCAGCAGGAACAGTCAGACTCGTGGGTGGGGGGTGATGATGAGCCACTGACAGGGTTCAGCTGGAGAGGAGGCTGTGAGAGGGAGACCACAGGGATCCAGGTCTGGAGTCAGGTGTTTGTGGTCAACAAGCCAGATGGGAGCAAGGTGAACCTTACTGACACACACAACCATTGAAATTGAGAGGAACACAGTCCTTATATGTTTGATCTTTTGTCAATCCCTGCCACTCATATTGGCTGTACTTTCTTTAAGTGGATTTCCATCATGTCTTGATCAACTAAAGGTGACTTGCAGTATCCTAACCCTCGACAGGTTGCTGTTCTGTTAGTGGACACACAGGGAGCCTTCGACAGCCAGTCCACCATAAAGGACTGTGCAACAGTTTTTGCCCTGAGCACCATGACCAGCTCTGTACAGGTGAGTCTATGGGATGGACCTGACTGTGACTGAGTTATTAGTATTTTACTGATGATGTACCCAGAAGACTGCATACATTGTGCCAGTTGAGTTCATAGTTCATTGCTGATGGAACTGGTATGTTAACTGGCTTACGTACAAAGGATATTTCATGGTATGTTTGTGTTTTCAGGTGTATAACCTGTCTCAGAATATTCAGGAGGATGATCTTCAGCATCTCCAGGTATATACATAATTCCACCCCATCTTAATGAATACGTTACACATTTGTTAGTGTTTGAAAACGATGTTAGGGGTATGATGACTAACATCCATTGTCTTTACTCCATATGTTTAGCTCTTCACCGAATACGGCCGGCTTGCTTTGGAGGAAATCTATCTAAAACCCTTTCAGGTATGTTACTGTCCTGAAAATGGATATGGTTTCTTCAATATATTCAACAGTTTTGACAAGCACATTTGTCCCCTCTGAGCACTGATTTTCTCAGTAACCCTGTTTGTGTTCCAGTCACTCATGTTCCTGATCAGAGACTGGAGCTATCCATACGAACACAACTATGGACTGGAGGGAGGGAACTGCTTTCTAGAGAAGAGACTGCAGGTAAGTCTGGAGGAGAGAATGAGGCCCGTGAAGGATCATTTAAAAATGGGCTGCTCCATATTTAAACATAGTATCTAGTCCAGTGTGGCTTTTTAGGAGAGGAATTTCCACTACAGTTTTGAACGAAATGAGTTTGAATTCAATATCTTGGCCGAATTGTAATGAGTAATTTTGTTAAGTTTAGCTTTGAATGGAAGGAGACATGCAGTATCACTTTTAGTGGAGGATCTAGCAGTGTATATGTTATACCACTGTATGCTATGTGTTGGGTAGCATGTAACAGCTGAGCCGTCTTATTGGGTAGCATGTAACAGCTGAGCCGTCTTATTGGGTAGCATGTAACAGCTGAGCCGTCTTATTGGGTAGCATGTAACAGCTGAGCCGCCTTATTGGGTAGCATGTAACAGCTGAGCCGCCTTATTGGGTAGCATGTAACAGCTGAGCCGTCTTATTGGGTAGAATGTAACAGCTGAGCCGTCTTATTGGGTAGAATGTAACAGCTGAGCCGTCTTATTGGGTAGAATGTAACAGCTGAGCCGTCTTATTGGGTAGAATGTAACAGCTGAGCCGTCTTATTGGGTAGAATGTAACAGCTGAGCCGCGTGTATGGAAGTGTTGACTTGTTTTAAGTTGTTGGGTAGCATGTTCCAATTGGTCCAGTGGCCGCTTGTGGGATAGCATTGGACAGAAGACCAGTGTCTTTCTTGGATATTATGTAACAGCTGTGTTGTTTTCTGCAGGTGAAACAGAACCAGCACGAGGAGCTGCAGACAGTGAGGAAACATATCCACTCCTGCTTCTCCAACATCGGTTGCTTCCTACTGCCCCACCCTGGCCTCAAGGTGGCCACCAATCCCATGTTTGACGGAAGATTAAAAGGTGAGGCCTCCCACTACAGAGAATTATCACTTCCACCCCCTCACCCCCCTCCATATGCCACTAACCCCACCCACCCAACATTATCTCATCCTCAGTGACTCCCTGACCCTTTTCTGAAAGACTGAAGTGGAGAGGAAGCTTAGTTAACCCCTGGAGGAGACATTATTGGGCTTTACTATGCTTCTGGCTGTGTTCTTTGTGTAGACATTGATGGTGACTTCAAAGAGGCGCTGGGCAATCTGGTGCCCTTACTGCTGGCTCCTGAGAACCTGGTGGAGAAGGAGATTGGAGGGGCGAAAGTCACCTGCAGAGATCTAGTGGAGTATTTTAAGGCGAGTAAGCGCTCTGCCTCTCCCATGGCGACACGAAAACTGGAAATGCCTGAAAGTGTTCTAAAAATTTATTCTCTTTACAACGGAAATAATCAATACAAAATGAATTTCTCCACATTTACTTCCCAGGCCTATATAAAGATATATCAAGGGGAGGAGCTTCCTCATCCCAAGTCCATGTTACAGGTCTGTATTGGTTTGCTTAACATTGACGTTAATAGTTTTGAGCAAGCCCGTGGAGTCTCTTATTCCGCTCACACCCTCTTTGCGTTTGACTGTGCTCATATTTTCTTCCATGTTACCTAGGCAACGGCTGAAGCCAACAACCTTACAGCAGTTGCTGGCGCGAAAGACACTTACAGCAAAAGCATGGAAATGGTAGGTTTGTTCACCCCTAGCTTGTTATACGAACAATGTATAGTCATAGACTGTTCTCTCTGCTACCGCAAGGTACCGGAGCGCCAAGTCTAGGTCCAAAAGGCTTCTTACATTTACATTTTAGTCATTTAGCAGACACTCTTATCCAGAGCAACTTACAGTTAGTGAGTGCATACATTTTCATACTGGCCCCCCGTGGGAATCGAACCCACAACCCTGGCGTTGCAAACGCCATGCTCTACCAACTGAGCTACACGGGACTACATAACAGCTTCTACCCCCAAGCCATAAGACCCCTGAACAGCTAATCAAATGGCTACCCCTCTTTTACGCTGCTGCAACTCTCTGTTTATGATCTATGCATAGTCACTTTAACTGTACCTACATGTACATATTACCTCGACTAACCTGTTCCCCCGCACCTTGACTCTGTACCGGTACCCCCTGTATATAGCCTCGCTACAGTTATTTTACTGCTGCTCTTTAATTATTTTTTATTTGAATTTTGTAGATAAGTAAAACATTTAACACTTATATTTCTTAACTGCATTGTTGGTTAAGGGCTTGTAAGTAAGCATTTCACTGTAAGGTCTACAGCTGTCGTATTCTGCACGTGACAAATAAAATGTGATTTGATCCACACATTCCATGCAGATTGATATTGTACACTGAATAGTGTCATAATACAATCAAAATCATGTAACCCATGACGTCATCCATAGAGGTAATCTTTTTGCAATTAGTCTTTGTTAAAGTTAGTGTAATATTGTGTTTGGTTTCTGAACTGTGGTGTTTCGCTGCTAGGTGTGTGGAGGGGACAAGCCCTACATCGCCCCTCCAGACCTGGAACGTTGCCACGAGGAGTTCAAGGAGTGCTCAGTGCGTCAGTTCCGCTCCGTGAAGAAGATGGGCGGAGAGGACTTCTGCAAGAAATACCAGGAGCAGCTGGAGGGCGAGCTGGATGAGGCCTACTCCAACTTCCACAAGCACAACGAGGGCAAGAACATCTTCTACGCCGCACGCACGCCCGCAACGCTGTTCGTCGTCATGTTCGCCACCTACATCGTCTCAGGGCTGACCGGATTCATCGGAATGAACACTATTGCCATGCTGGCCAACCTGGTCATGGGTGTGGCCCTCATGACGCTCTGCATGTGGGCCTACGTCAAATACTCAGGGGAGTTCAGAGATGTGGGCACCATCATAGACCTGTTGGCAGAGACACTCTGGGAACAGGTGGGTGCCGACGTCTGTGTCGATGAAGGTGTTTTCATGTTAAGGATAGAAGTATTGATAAGTCAATTAGAGTACTGTAAGTATGATTATTTAGGACAAGTGACTTTCTAGGTGATTCAAAGCCCTGTGAAGCTGAGAATTCCTCCTTGATGTCTCCCGTCTGTGACGTTGATTCCCTTCCCTCAGATTCCAGACTTCTAGTGGCCCTCTAGTTCCCCATCAGCCCTGAACTCGATCTAGCTAACAAAATGGCTACACGGACTGAGTTGACCCTTGTATTTCTATTTTTGCCCTGTCTCTATTAACACACTAAGAACTCTACACACATTGACACATTTATACTGACACTATACACACAATCATATACGCTGCTGCTACTGTTTATCATATATCCTGATGCCTAGTCGCCTTACCCCTATACATACAGTGCATTCGGAAAGTATTCAGACCCCTTGACATTTTCCACATTTTGTTACGTTAGGGCCTTATTCTAAAATTTATTAAATTGTTGTTTTTCCCCTTAATCTACACACAATACCCCATAATGTCAAAGCAAATACAGGTTTTTTTAATAAACAACCCCGGAAATATCATATTTACAAAAGTATTCAGACCCTTTACTCAGTACTTTGTTGAAGCACCTTTGGCAGCGATTACAGCCTCGAGTTTCTCCTATTCTTCTCTGCAGATCCTCTCAAGCTTTGTCAAGTTTGATGGGGAGTGTCGCTGCACAGCTATTTTCAGGTGTCTCCAGAGATGTTTGATCGGGTTCAAGTCCGGGCTCTGGCTGGGACACTCAAGGACATTCAGAGACTTGTCCCGAAGCTACTCCTGCGTTGTCTTGGCTGAGGGTTGTTGTCCTGTTGGAAGATGAACCTTCGCCCCCAGTCTGAGGTCCTGAGCGCTCTGAAGCAGGTTTTCATCAAGGATCTCTCTGTACTTTGCTCCGTTCATCTATCCCTCGATCCTGACTAGTATCCCAGTCCCTGCCGCTGAAAAACATCCCCATGCTGCCACCACCATGCTTCACCGTAGGGATGGTGCCAGGTTTCCTCCAGACTTGAAGCTTTGCATTCAGGCCAAAGAGTTCAATCTTTGTTTCATCAGACCAGATAATCTTTTTTTCTCATGGTCAGAGACCTTTTGGCAAACTCCAAGCGGGCTGTCATGTGCAATTTACTGAGTGGCTCTCTGGCCACTCTACCATAAAGGCCTGATTGGTGGAGTGCTGCAGAGATGGTTGTCCTTCTGGAAGGTTCTCCCATCTCCACAGAGGAACTCTGGAGCTCTGTCAGTGACCATCGGGTTCTTGGTCACCCCTCTGACCAAGGCCCTTCTCCCTCAATTGCTCAGTTTGATGGGCGGCCAGCTCAAAGTCTTGATGGTTCCAAACTTCTTCCATTTTAGAATGGAGGCCACTGTGTTCTTGGACCTTCAATGTTGCAGATTGGACATGATTTGGAAAGGCACACAGCTGACAGTGCATGTCAGAGCAAAAACCAAGCCATGAGGTTGAAGGAATTGTCCGTAAAGCTCAGACAGGATTGTTTCAAGGCACAGATCTGGAGAAGGGTACCAAAAAATGTTTGCAGCATTGAAGGTCCCCAAGAACAGTGGCCTCCATCATTCTTAAGTGAAATAAGTTTGGAACCACCAAGGCTCTTCCTAGAGCTGGCCGCCCAGCCAAACTGCGCAATCGGGGGAGAAGGGCCTTGGTCAGGGAGGTGACCAAGAACCCAATGGTCACTCTGACAGAGCTCTAGAGTTCCTCTGTGGAGATGGGAGAACCTTCCAGAAGGACAACCATCTCTGCAGCACTCCACCAATCAGGCCTTTATGGTAGTGGCCAGACGGAAGCCACTCCTCAGTAAAAGGCACATGACAGCCCACTTGGAGTTTGCCAAAAGGCACCTAAAGGAGACTCCGACCATGAGAAACCAAGATTGAACTCTTTGGCCTGAATGCCAAGCGTCACGTCTGGAGGAAACCAGGCACCGCTCATCACCTGGCCAATACCATCCCTACGGTGAAGCATGGTGGTGGCAGCATCATGCTGTGGGTGTGTTTTTCAGCGGCAGGTACTGGGAGACTAGTCAGGATCGAGGGATAGATGTACAGTACAGAGAGTACCTTGATGAAAAGCTGCTCCAGAGCGCTCAGGACCTCACACTGGGGTGAAGGTTCACCTTACAATAGAACAACGTCCCTAAGCACACAGCCAAGACCACGCAGGAGTGACTTCGGGACAAGTCTCTGAATGTCCTTGAGTGGCCCAGCCACAGAGATCTAATATCTCTGGAGAGACCTAAAAATAGCTGTGCAGCGTCGCTCCCCATCCAATCTGACAGCGCTTGAGAGGATGTGCAGAGAAGAATGGGAGAAACTCCCCAAATACAGGTGTGCCTAGTTTGTAGCGTCATACCCAAGAAGACTCGAGGCTGTAATCGCTGCCAAAGGTGCTTCAACAAAGTACTGAGTAAAGGGTCTGAGTACCTATGTAAAATGTGATTTCATTTTCTTATATATATGTTTCTACATTTGCAAAAATGTCAATCTGTTTTTGATTTGTCATTATGGGGTATTGTGTGTAGATTGAGGGGGGGGGGGAAACTATTTAATCCATTTTTGAATAAGGCTGTAACATTACAACGTGGAAGAAGTGAAGGGGTCTGAATATTTTCAGAATGCACTGTATAGCTTGTTTTTGTTCTACCCTATGTAATTTTGTGTACTATTGATTACTTAATTGTTGGGTTTAGAGCTGGAAAGGAAGGCATTTCAGTATACTTCTGCATGTGAAATTAACCCCCTCCATCAAAATTTGATTTGATCCAATTAACTGTCTTTCCTTTACCATCCAATCAGCCTTCAGCCTACCCTTTCCTTGTCCAATCAGCTGGTGATCTGTTTTCTTCTTTAATCTGATCTTGCTCTCCCTCTCCTCTCTGCCTCACAGAAGACTCCCAGAAAGGTGAGAGGTGGAGGTTTCCCTTCCTGCCTTTGTTCCTGGTGCAGTTCAGTGTACTGTGTTTGTCATCTTTGGTTGTCTCTCTGCTGACATAGCTCTTCTCTGCTAATTCCTCACCTCCCCTGTCTCCAGGTGCTTTCCAAACTCTTCGAGTCAGCCAGGAGTCGAATCACATGGAGCTTTTTCCTACCAGCAGCAGCAATACAGAGAAAGCGACTCTCCTCAAACAACAATGACAAGACTGACTAACTAGCCTTTCTGGCTAGCTGCTTGGCTCTTTATTTCCAAATGCATCTGCATTCTGCTCTTGTCATTCCTTGTGGCCTATGGGGCTGGTCTTAATTACAGGGATGTTGTCTGCCTGGTTCACTCTACATGTAGAGCGCAGGTTGGCACTCTACCTACTCTTGATTGTAAACACAGCAGGCCCACTGAAATGTCTTAAATCATCGTGACACGTTTCAGATCTTTTTTGGAATCCATTTTTTCAGTTGCCATGATCTGAGTTTAGTTTTGACATTTTAATTATTTTTGTTTTAAAACATCAATGTTTTCGGTCTGCATGTTGGAAGCCTTTCTTTCGCTCCATTTTTCCTTATATTGTCATGTTGTTTTCTATTGATTTTGATTTAGTCATGTCCCCCTGTGCTCTCTCCTCTCCAGGTGTTGAAGCCTCTGAGTGAGCAATATATGGAGGATAACGTTAGACAGACTGTGGTCAACTCCATCAGAGCCAGTCTGACAGAACAGGCCACACAGCACACCAAGTCACAATGACACCCCCCCCTCCCCCCCTCCCCCCTCCCCCCTCCCCTCCCCTCCTGCTATCCGCTCACCCATTCAGTGTGCTAAGTCCTAGAGCTCTGCAAACCAAAGTATACCCACCCACCCTCCTTGTCTGCTGTACTGTCCTGTGTTACTACTGGCTCCTCTATTATCGGATCGCTCCTGTTGGAAGGTGGACAATCAGCGAGTTAACAAGTGGAGTTGCCAGTCTTCTCCCGCCTTTACCAAATTGGACCCATTTATCGAATGTGCCATCTTGTAGAGGCAACCCCTACCCCCACCCAGGATTTTAAATAATGAAGGATTGTCAGTTTTGCTGGCCTGGTTTTAGTGTCTAATACTGCCATTAATTAAACGGATTGTACATGCTTGGGTTTGAAGGGAAATTCAGGGAAATGCAGCTCATACGCTGTGCCTTTGGATGCAAGCTGAACTGTCTGCCTGGTCATACATACAGTAGCCAAGCCAGTCTGTTACTCCCCCTCTTCTGATTATTGTTTGGTTTTTAACGGAGGTGGCTTTAGAAAGTATTTGAGCCTCATTGTTTTTAAGGTACTGAACTTGCTTTAGCATCTACCTACCAGTATTACCCACTGCATGGTATTAGATCTACATAGCATAGCGCTAAAATAGGCCCTAGAGCTCAAGCTACTGGTTAGCGGGGAAATATTCAGACCATTTAATTTGTCTTTCTTGAAAACCCAGAAGTACAGTGGGAGTGATCAAAGGTATTGCAAATCTAGCATGTTTTTCTCTTGTCAATACAGCACTAATGATATCAGTTATGCCAACACTTTAGTACCAATTCCATCCACAACTGTCTCGCCTAGGAACGTGCCAGTCTGTACAGTCATTTATATTTTTCAAATAGGGCATGATGTATATGACAAATATTGAAAGAACTTTGTATAAATTTTTATAGTGTTGTGGTTTTTTGATTGGCCTAAAGTGTGGTTTAAGGAATGTTTTGTGATTGGTCTTACATGTAAAATTGCATGTTTACATACTAGTATAGTAGATAAAAAATAAAACTCTAGGCTAGAGCACTTCGATTCCACCTCGGACAAAGCTTTCTGGAATTTGAGTGGGTCGAGATTGTCTTTTTGCATTTTAAATCATTTCCTGTAATTTATTTTTCAATGAGTACATTGACCTTATTGATTAAAACTGATAATTGACAGTTCATGACTCTGTTGTTTATTGGAACGAAGGCAAAATCATCACAGCTTCCTTTCACAGCATTCCAGTTGACAATACAGTAAGTAGAAAGCTACTGTGGAAGTATAACGCCAAAGTGAGGTTTGCTATCGTAGAGCTTCATTTTGACCACCCCCACCCAGTTTACACTGGTTTCATTGAGATGACATAAGCCACAGTTACGGTTTGTCTTTTGGTTGGAGATGGACCCCACAATTCAATCCTCTGCTAAATCCACTGTACCTTTTAGTGCCTGGTTCTCAAACTACCTGTATGCAGTCAGTAGCCAGAGAGCATTGTCACAAGAAAAGGCCTGTGACAGAGCAGATGTTAGGTTAGTCAGTGATGCTGCTGCACAGGGAAAGGTCTGCTCTTGGACAACTATTCTGCCATTTTAACAAATACAATTGAACGCACTTGGCTCTACAATGTTATTGTCTACAAATTCAGACTGGACAATTAAAGCTTTAAAGAAGTCATTAAACACTTGGAAGTAATGTTATGGCATGGACTGTAATATTCATGTATTCACAAATGCTACAGCAATGAATGCTGGATGTGATTTGATATCGTTTAAACTTCAATACCTACTGGGGCCAAGAGAGGGAGACCAAGTCGTAGAAATATATATTTTTTTTACGGGACTGCTTCATGTAGAGTACAGTAACTCTGGTTGACTTTCACTCCATTCAGGATAAGACAGACCACATTGTGCGCTTGAAATGGGTCTGTTGGGATGCATACGCCTGTTAACCTCAAGGCTCTGACCCTTTTTTTCAATTTTCGCCAAAAATTACATACCCAAATCTAACTGCCTGTAGCTCAGGACCAGAGGCAAGGATATGCATATTCTTGATACCATTTGAAAGGAAACACTGAAGTTTGTGGAAATGTGAAATTAATGTAGGAGAATAACAGATCTGGTAAAAGATAATACAAAAAAAAAAAAAAAATCTATACATTTTTTGTTCCATCTTTGAAATGCAAGAGAAAGGCCACTAATATTGCAGTTTAGATTTTGTCCACTAGATGGCAGCAGTGTGTGCAAAGTTTCAGATTGATCCAGTGAAGCATTGCAATACTGGACTATTTTGTATCAAGTCTGCCCAAATGTGCCAAATTGCTGAATTTTCAAGTACGTAACTATAGAGAACTAACAAAAATGATATGGTAATACAAAATGTAAGTTTAAACACTCCCAGCAATGTCATAAATGATGGATCATTAGCTTATACACTAACTTTCACACATCTAGATGGCCGGGCGGGGTGGGTGTGGAGCCAGAGACAGCAGGGGTTCAAACTGTAGAACCCAGTTCCTACATTTGAATATAAAAATGGATTTTATCAAACAAAACTATGCTACATTTTACCTCTGGGACCCTTAGGATGACAAATCAGAGCAAGACTACTGAACGTAAGTACATTATTTACCTTCAGAGGTGAATGTATCAAACCAGTTGCCGTGATACGTTTTTTGTTGTTGTGCACTCTCCTCAAACAGCAGCATAGTATTTTTTCAATGTAATAGCTACTGTAAATTGGACAGTGCAGTTAGATTAACAATAATTTAAGCTTTCTGCCCATATAAGACATGTCTATGTTCTGGAAGATTTGCTGTTACAACAGTCATGCTAATCACATTAGCGCACGTTAGCTCAACAACCTGACTGATACAATCCAGGGATATTCTACTTGTACCAATCTGGTTTGAAAAGCACTCAAAACTACACTGATTGTTGTGAAGAAGGCGTCAGGGCGCCCAAGAATGTCCAGCAAGCGCCAGGACCGTCTCCTAAAGTTGATTCAGCTGCGGGATCGAAGCACCACCAGTGCAGAGCTTGCTCAGGAATGGCAGCAGGCAGGTGTGAGTGCATCTACACGCACAGTGAGACGAAGATTTTTGGAGGATGGCCTGGTGTCAAGAAGGGCAGCAAAGAAGCCACTTCTCTCCAGGAAAAACATCAGGGACAGACTGTTATTCTGCAAAAGGTACAGGGATTGGAATGCTGAGGACTGTGGTAAAGTCATTTTCTCTGATGAATCCCCTTTCTGTTGTTTGGGGCATCCGGAAAACACCTTGTCCGGAGAAGACAAGGTGAGCGCTACCATCAGTCCTGTGTCATGCCAACAGTAAAGCATCCAGAGACCATTCGTGTGTTGTTGCTTCTCAGCCAAGGGAGTGGGCTCACTCACAATTTTGCCTAAGAACACAGCCATGAATAAAAAATGGTACCACACACATCCTCCGAGAGCAACTTCTCCCAACCATCCAAGAACAGTTTGGTGACGACCAATGCCTTTTCCAGCATGATGGAGCACCTTGCCATAAGGCAAAAGTGATAACTAAGTAGCTCGGGGAACAAAACATTGACATTTTGGGTCCATGGCCAGGAAATTCCCCAGACCTTAATCCCATTGAGAACTTGGTCAGGATGTGGCCCAGAAGTTAATTGACAGCATGCCAGGGCAGATTGCAGAGGTCTTTAAAAAGAAGGGTCAACACTGCAAATATTGACTCTGCATAAACTAAATATAATTGTCAATAAAAGCCTTTGACACTTATGGAATGCTTGTAATTATATTTCAGTATACCATAGTAACATCTGACAAATATATCTCATAAAACACTGAAGCAGCGAACTTTGTGAAGACCAATACTTGTGTCATCCTCAACTTTTGACCACGACTGTACAATGTAGAAAATAGTAAAAATAAAGAAATACCCTAGAATGAGTAGGTGTGTCCAAACTTGTATTATTTATATATAGATATAAATAATAAATTGTGCCCATCTCAGTGAACTAATCCATTGCGGAGACTAAAAGCCAATTTATGCTTGATCCGAAAATGTGGTCGAAGGCTCCATATGGAGGGTGTGACGCAATTCCGGAGCCTGCAGAAGCCAAATCAAGCGGCGTACCGCATCGCCATGCGCCTCCCAAATGTTGTAACAATGGAGAGGGCTCTGTATAGCTCCGCATTGACATGATTGGTTGACGGTAGGTGGGGGCGGTACATCCTGTAGAAAACACAAACTCACTTCCTTGACAACAGAGCTGCACTGCTCCACGTAGCGCAAGTATGAATGTCCTGACTTCTGCTGAGGCCGTATCACGATAAATGTTGCATGACCAATGCAGACATATGATTGACCAGGTGCACAATGCACTTCTCTCCAGAATGCGCTCTCTCCCGCCAATTTGTTTCATAACTTCATTGTGTGAATTGTTTGCATTTGATTGTTAGTGTATATCAATTCCCCGTTACATATATCACCAGTAGTACATTTACCGTTAATTCCTATAATTTCTAGTCTACAATGTTTGTTACTTTGGTTATGGTAATTTCTGTTAATGCATTCAATATGATTATTCCAGTCTTCCTACTATCATTGTCAGAGTGGACACTGTTTGCAGAGTGCACAACCTATGCTACACTTGTGAGAAACAAGTTTTGGTTTATTTCATTACATTTGAGGAGTGGAACGACGGCATCAAGACGCTATGTGAAGACCAACCAGTGGTGGATGTCTTACAAAGACATTATAACTCCAGAAAAGACTTCCGCTCCTTGCACTTGTTGCTGATGCTGTCTCTGAGCCGTGTGAGCGCATCTAAACCTGCCATCAAGCCCACTGATCTCTTGGAGGCCAGCAGAGTCTGTATGGTGGACTCTAAAGCAAACATACTTCATGGTCTGTCCATTCTTGAACTGTGCCTGATAATTGCCATGAAACACTTGAATGACATCTATGACGGAGAGCCGTTTAACTTCCAGATGGTTCACAATGAGTTCAAGAAATTCCTCCAGAGGAAATCCCATTCTATCCATAACTTTGACAAGCCAGTCGTCATAAAGGCATTTGAGCACCTGCAGCAGTTGGAGCTGATTAAGTCTATGGACGGCTCCACAGCTAAGATCCAGAAGGAGTACCAGCTGATGAAACTCATGTTGGACCACAGCCAGATCATGGAGGTCCTGCATAAATACCCACAATGCCCCACAGATGTCAAACAGTGGGCCTTGTCTGCCTTTGGTTAAAGGTACATATTCTTCTATATTGGGTCCAGAGGGGCAGTTTTGGATAACCAATGAAAGATATGGGACCGTGGCCTGGACCCTGTCATCATGGACAGACAATGAATGACCTGACCAAAATGTTTCTGCCATGTGTACATTCCTTGTGTGTAAATATAAATATTTGGCTGTACTTATTAAAGTCATGCAAAAACAAAATCATCAGTATTATAAAAAAAAAAAAATGTATGCTCTGGATAAGAGCGTCTGCTAAATGACTAAAATGTAATGTAAATTTACGAGTTTTATCAATTTAGTCATTGTCTTTTGTATGGAGCACACCTGTCAATGTTGAGTAAGGACGTGCACACATAGAAGCAGGCCTATAGGCTACCTGGCATGCCCGCAAATGTAGGCATATAAAATGTGCCCATTTGGGGATCTGATAGTATTTCTGATTGGCTTAACGCACCACCACTAATGACATGTAGAGCTTCTCAAAGTAATGTTTTCTTCACCTCAAAGAGCAAGCAAACAAAGTCTGTTTTTACATCCATTGAAATGACAATAGTTCCTCAATGTATTTGAAAAATCTTTCCAGGTCTCTCTTTTCGATAACCACTCAGTGTGAAAGGGAAAAATGTCATGCTCTGATCCAGTGGAAACGTCATAATATAGGCCTACCTGATTACTTCTTATCAGTGCTCGACTTGAGTCTCCCGGTCGCGGCCGGCTGCGACAGAGCCTGGATTCGAACCAGTCTCCTGAGTGGCGCAGTGGTCTAAGGCACTGCATCGCAGTGCTAACTGTGCCACTAGAGATCCTGGTTCGAATCCAGGCTCTGTCGCAGCCGGCCGCGACCGGGAGACTCATGGGCGGCGCACAATTGGCCCAGGGTAGGGGAGGGAATGGCCGGCAGGGATGTAGCTCAGTTGATAGAGCATGGCGTTTGCAACGCCAGGGTTGTGGGTTCGATTCCCACGGGGGGCCAGTATAAAAATAATAATAAATGTATTCACTAACTGTAAGTCGCTCTGGATAAGAGCGTCTGCTAAATGACTAAAATGTAAAAAATGTTCGTCCCTATTGCCTCTTATCTGGCACACTCACTAAACACAAATGCTTCCTTTGTAAATTATGTCCGAATGTTGGAGTGTGCCCCTGGCTATCTGTAAACTCAAGTAGTAGTTTACTGGGTGACTTTCACTTGAGTAATTTTCTATTAAGGTTTCTTTACTTTTACTCAAGTATGACAATTGGGTACTTTTTCCACCACTGTGAACAAAAATATAAACGCAACATGTAAAGTGTGTTGGTCCCATGTTCCATGAGCTGAAATAAAAGATCCCAGAAAGTTTCCATATGCACAAAAAGCTTATTTCTCTCAAATGTTGCGCACAAATTTGTTTACATCTCTGTTAGTGAGCATTTCTCCATTGCCAAGATAATCCATCCACCTGACAGGTGTGGCATATCAAGAAGCTGATTAAACAACACTGCCAGATGTCTCAAGTTGAGGGAGAGTGCAATTGGAAGGAATGTCCACCAGAGCTGTTGCCAGAGAGTTTAATGTTAATTTCTCTACCATAAGCCGCCTCCAATGTTGTTTTAGAGAATTTGGCAGTACATCCATCCGGCCTCACAATCTCAGGCCAAGGACCTCCACATCAGTCTTCTTCACCTGCGGGATCATCTTAGACCAGCCATCCGGACAGTTGATCAAACTGTGGGTTTGCACAACCGAAGAATTTCTGCACAAACTGTAGAAACCGTCTCAGGGAAGCTTATCTGAGTGCTCGTCGTCCTCACCAGGGTATTGACCTGACTGCAGTTCTGTGTCACAACCGACTTCAGTGGGCAAATGCTCACCTTCAATGGCCACTGGCACACTGGAGAAGTGTACTCTTCACAGATTAATCCCAGTTTTAACTGTACCGGGCAGCTGGCGGTTTGCTTATGTCAACGTTATAAACAGAGTGCCCCATGGTGGCACTGGGATTATGGTATGGGTAGGCATAAGCTACAGACAACAAACACAATTGCATTTTATCGATGATAATTTGAATACACAGAGATACCGTGACGAGATCCTGAGGCCCATTGTCGTGACATTCATCCGCCGCCATCACCTCATGTTTCTGCACGATAATGCACGGCCCCATGTTGAAAGGATCTGTACACAATTCCTGGAAGCTGAAAATGTCCCAGTTCGTCCATGGCCTGCATACTCACCAGACATGTCACCCATTGAGCATGTTTGGAATGCTCTGGATTAACAAGTACGGCAGCATGTTCCAGTCCCCACCAATATCCAGCAACTTCGCACAGCCATTGAAGAGTTGGACAACATTTCACAGGCCACAATCAACAGCCCGATCAACTCTATGCGAATGAGATATCTACATATCTGTATTCCCAGTCATGTGAAATCCATAGATTAGGGCCTACTGAATTTATTTCAATTGACTGATTTCCTTATATGACCTAACTCAGTAAAATCTTTGAAATTGTTGTGTTGATATTTTTGTTCAGTGTAGTTCTGATACAAAATGATTATGATAAACCCAAAAAATTGCACAAACTGACAGAGCAAATGATCGGTTTACAAACTCTCCTCCCCTCACCGTTCACTAGCACAACATGTAATTAATAGCTGCATATTTGTTGTCGATGTGCTTAAAATACTATACTACAAAATACCTTTACATGTCAGGGCAAAGCTATACCATAATGAGCATTTACACACGGACGTAGGCTGGTAAAACAACTCCATTGAGATTTTAAACCTATTCTAAACTATAGAGGGCCCATACAACTCAATGATAACACACTAAGACATTAGAAGCCAGAAAGTTTCACAATCATTTCGCAATCCATATAAATACATCACTTACCGCTCATAGCGGCATTTTGGCCTATGAGCTGAAATACTCCCTTGAGTGGAGAGAGCGCTTCTCCTGTCTTCCACCATGTTCCCTGCAGGATGAGACATGATGTTGGCAACTAGAGCACGAGATGAGAGTAGTTACATAGGCAGCTGAACTAGATTAACTTTGCATTCTTTCTAAATGGAGAGTATTATCATTCAGCGGGAGGATGGGAAACACAGACAGACTCAAGCTCTGAGGCTGGCTGCGTCCGAGTGTTGTAGTTCAACTCCTCCATGGCGGGTAGGGGAGCAGACAGTGTTCCGAGGGGTGGGGTGGTGTTGTAGGGACTCCAGGTCTAGATAATGATTCTGAAGACGAAGGACAGGGCGGCTCCCAGAGCCAAACCCAGAGACAGGAAGAATGCCATGATGGTGCCGGCCGTCTCCGCTTCGTGTTGTGCCACTTTCCTGTATGGAAATAGGAGGGACAAAACACATGACTAGGAGAAGAAAACAGGACTGTATACAAATGATGAACCAGTGCAATGTCTTTTTTGTCATGAGTTGACTGTGCTAGTACAGTGTTTCTCAACCTATGTTACAGGAACCTGCAAGCTATGGTTCCTTTCTATGGAGTACCGCTTGAGAACTGACTACAATTAGTCAGCTTTCTCGCTGAGGAACCAGTCAGCAGTGCCGGTCCCTGGTACAGAGTGTTGAGAACTGTGCTGTAGTCGTCACGGGTGATGGTCTTACCTTGGTCCAAAGCACATGCAGAGGCTGGCCAGGTATCCATTGCTGAAGGAGAAGAGGATAATGAAGACTATGTACCAGGCGTCGTGGGCAAACAGCACGGGCAGGTTGTTCCTGGGCTGGACGTTACACAGCATAAAGAGAGGCACGAAGACCATACGGAGACCCACCATGACGGGCAGGATGACGCTGTCCTTACCGGGCTGACAGGACAAAAGAAGAAGACATCTCAGTAGGAAACACATCCACTCCACCCTTATACTGTACACCCTGTTTAAACAGAGCACTTGTGAATTTGAACCCTGATCACAATCACCTCTCTATACACTGGATTTTGTCAACAAGAAAGTTGCTGGTCAGGGGTGTTGAAATGTCAGGTTGCTGATGGTTATACACACTTCCTGTGTAGCTTCAGTAACATAAACTGAGTGGGAGACAGTAGTGCAAGGTTATGTAGCCTGAGACCGTGCCATACCCTGGATAAGACTGGGTCTGAAACCCACACACATTCCAATGAACAGCTTAGACAAGGAGCCTGTGAACTCAGGGAATTCAGCAATGGCCTCCAAATTAAACCTTGAGTAACACAATTCAGAGCAGGCAAGAGATATAAACAACTCAACTCGCACTATAAACACAATTAGTTACATAATATGGGGCCTACTATATGCTTCAGCGAAGAGCTAGGCTAATAAAACACAGCACTGTAAAAAGGGATAGCGAAACATTTTCTCCGTGAAATAATTGAACTATTCCACCCGTGCCAAGCTTAATGGCATTGGATTTGATTATTTCAATTGGATTGGATGGCAGTGGGGCCTGGAGAAGAGAACAAGAGAGCATTGAGTGGTGTGAGGCTGACTTGGGTTCAGGGCAGGTTTTCAGATGGGCTGGAGATTAGACTAATGAGGTACACACTGCTGGCTAAAGGAGGTTCTAGGGTCAGCAATTATAGGGAACCATGTGTTAATCAAGGCTATGGTTTAGCCTATACTGTACAAGGACATGAATGTCAGCCAAAATATGTTAAATCAGGGTATATACAGCGGCTTGCGAAAGTATTCACCCCCCTTGGCATTTTTCCTATTTTGTTGCCTAACAACCTGGAATTAAAATAGATTTTTTGGGGGTTTGTATAATTTCATTTACACAACATGCCTACCACTTTGAAGATGCAAAATATTTTTTATTGTGAAACAAACAAGAAATTACACCCCAAAAAAACAGAAAACTTGAGCATGCATAACTATTCACCCCCCCCAAAGTCAATACTTTGTTGAGCCACCTTTTGCAGCAATTACAGCTGCATGTCTCTATAAGCTTGGCACATCTTCTTCAAGGCAAAACTGCTCCAGCTCCTTCAAGTTGGATGGGTTCCGCTGGTGTACAGCAATCTTTAAGTCATTCCACAGATTCTCAAATGGATTGAGGTCTGGGCTTTGACTAGGCCATTCCAAGACATTTAAATGTTTCCCCTTAAATCACTCAAATGTTGCTTTAGCAGTATGCTTAAGGTGATTATCCTGCTGGAAGGTGAACCTCCGTCCCAGTCTCAAATCTCTGGAAGACAAACAGGATTCCCTCAAGAATTTCCCTGTATTTAGCGCCATCCACCATTCCTTCAATTCTGACCAGTTTCCCTGCCGATTAAAAACATCCCCACATGCCCTCCTTGCATGGTCCGTGAGTTTTGGTGGGCGGCCCTCTCTTGGCAGGTTTGTTGTGGTGTCATATTCTTTAAATTTTTTAATAATGGATTTAAAATGGTGCTCCGTGGGATGTTCAAAGTTTCAGATATTTTTTTTTATAAACCAACCCTAATCTGTACTTCTCCACAACTTTGTCCCTGACCTGTTTGGAGAGCTCCTTAGTCTTCATGGTGCCGCTTGCTTGGTGGTGCCCCTTGCTTAGTGGTGTTGCAGACTCTGGGGCCTTTCAGAACAGGTGTATATATACACACAGATCATGTGAAAGATCACGTGACACTTAAATAAAGTCCACCTGTGTGCAATCAAACTAATTATGTGACTTCTGAAGATAATTGGTTGCACCAGATCTTATTTAGGGGCTTCATTGCAAAGGGGGTGAATACATATGCACGCACCACCTTTCCGATATTTATTTATTTGCATTTTCTGAAACACTTCACCAATTTTGACTATTTTGTGTATGTCCATTACATGAAATCCAAATAAAAATCCATTTAAATTACAGGTTATAATGCAACAAAATAGGAAAAATGCCAAGGGGGATGAATACTTTTGCAAGGCACTGTAAAGTTAGCCAACTTAATTGGGGAGGACGGGACTGTGGTAATGGCTGGAGCAGAATTGTATCAAATATGTCAAACACATGGTTTTATGCCATTCCATGCGCTCCGTTCCAGCCATTATTATGAGCCGTCCTCCCCTCAGCAGCCTCCACTGGTCAGAATACAAACACTCAATCAGAACTTCAGGAGTTAACCTCTATCAAACTGAATGTAAGGTAACAGTGCTCTATGTGCACTCAGCCTATCATTCCATTCTAAAGTAATCATAGGAGTCATGATGCGGAGGTAGAATTAAATAGAACACCATCTAGATCTCTATGGAGAAACCTCTCAGCCAGTGAATTACAGACTCCAGAGCTGGGAGCGGTTACAGCCCCAGTCATGAGATCTATTTACAACAGGAAGCTACTCCAAATCAATAGGGGGTCTTTAATGTCACCACTCCTCACCCACCCCTCAAACCCAACTTCCTTCAGCAGTCACTCTTCATCCTAAAAACACAAGGGCTTTTTCCAATACAAACCACTGGCCTACACATCAAGTGTTCTGTACCAGATTTTTCACAGAATTCTGAACGATTTATAATAATAATAATTCATTTAATTTGTAAAGCGCTTCTCTTCTCACACCCAAGATGCAAATATAAGTTATTGGGTCCAGAGTTGTGGATACCTTGTTAGGAGTGAACCAGGATTTTGTAGTCGGTGTGTGACCATATGGAGAGCCAGTGGAGTTTGAACAGCACTGGAGTGATGTGCTCGCGGAGGGAGGTGTGGGTGAGGACACGTGCACCACAGTTCTGGAAATACTGTAGCCTGTTTAAGCACTTGGCAGATGCGCCAACAAACAGGGCGTTACAATAGTCCAGACGGGATTAAATAAAGGTGTGGATGAGTCGCTCAGCTGCAGGATGTGATCGCATAGGTCATAACCTGCCAATGTTCAGTAGATGGAAAAATTTGACTTTGTTCACTCTTGATATGGGCCTCAAAAGAGAGCTGACTGTCAACTATCACACCCAGGTGGCAAACCTCACTGGAGGGGAGGACCTTGACACCATCAATATTGAGTCTGTAGCTGATGTTTATGATGGTGTGAGTGCCAATCAGGACAATCTCTTTTTGCAGTTTAACTGCAGGAAACAACTGCATCCACGCTTCGATTTCCTGCAGGCAGCTGACCAGGAGTGTTGTGGCATTGGCAATGTCAGTGCTTGTGGAGACAGAGCTGAGTGTCGTCAACATAAAAGTGAAAGCCCTGTCTGTTTCCTCAAGATGTTTCCCAGTGGCAGCATGCAGATACAAAACAACTGTGTCTGACCTACTAGGACCGATGGCTACAAACTGGTAGCGATCAGTGAGATAGGACCTGAACCAGTCCAGGACAGTGTCTGACAGGCCCCAAGAGCTTCTCCATGCGATCCAGCAGAATAGCATTGTTGACCATGTCGAATGCTGCACTGAGGTCCAGCATTCATGAGGTCATTGATGACCCTTACCAGGGCAGTCTCGTTGCTGTGTCTAGCTCTGTAAATCCGACTGGAAGGGTGTCTCGGCATGATTTCACTCGTACTCCCCAACAAGTTTTCCAACTATAATTCCATTCTATTCACTTTGATGGTGTGTGGAGGAGGGGTTTACAACCCCTATAACGTCATGTAATCACCAGGCAGTAATCTGGATCAGATTAACACATTTGAGAAGGTAAGGTATTTTTAAACAAATGTGTTATGTCATTGTATGTGATACTGTTGTCATGGGAGTCGTTAGCCTATCCTTCTCCTCTCCCCTTTTAGATTGATGAGACGCCAAGACATTCTGATCTAAGGTCCAGTGAACTGTCAAAGAAGTTGGCCAAGGGGAACAATTGGTCAGGCCAGGGGGAACCACTTCAAGGGAGCACAGATGTTAAGTAGGAATCTACACAAATAAACCCTTGTCTGTTTGAGCCAGTGTCAGTGGAACTAGTGCTCAGGGCCTCAAGACTCACCCACATACTCACGGCCGTCAGACTCCTTCCTGCCCAGTCCATCACGTTGAAGAGCAGGAAACACGACACAGGGATGAAGTATGTATCTGTGGAGACAGAGGGACAACAACAGTATGGTGAATAACAAGACTATAGTCCAGACTTAAAATCAATACTGAAACCTATTAGAGCAAAATCGCAAGGGCATCGTCCTTGCCAGTTTTTAATACAGAGGATGAATGCAATAAGCCTGTATGCTGGTCTCCCTCTTCACATGCCATTTATACAGCAAAACACTGATAAATAAAGACTTGTGTAATCATTTACAACATAAACATTCCCTCAGCACACTCACCCCAGGCACCTCCATCGGCCACGGTGGATCTGACATCAACTGTGACTGCAGGAAACGTTCCGATGGTGATGGTGAACACGAAGCACACAGAGAGGGCCATTACCCAGATCTACCAACACAGGACAAAATAAGTACAACATAAGTGGGGGGTTTTAGGCCCAACCACCAATTCCCTCACTTGGAAGGACCACTTTGTTGATATGGTCTTTGTGCAGGTGCCTTACCTGTTTAAAGATGGCAAACACAGATATGGTGGGCTTGTCTTCCCCCTCTGTCAGACTGACCACCGGCCTCTTCTCTGCTGGGCTGTCTGTCACACAACACAAAAGTCTGTATGATTCCTCACATCCTCTTTTGTTGTTAGCTTTACAGATAGAGATGCAAGAGAAGCAACTTTAAAGAAGAACACAGAATGAAATCAAGGAACAAACATATAAACAAGCAAATTATAGTTCTACTATAACCCAGTAAGCCCTGGGCTGAGTCATAGAGTACACTACTACACACAAAAGGAGAAACTCATTTCTCAATGGCGTTGGGTTTTATAAGCAGCGTCTTATTACACGACATTCCATCTGCTGACTGTACCTTTTTTCAATAGGTTCATCTTGTTCTCCTCATCTCCGCCGGCTGGCCTGGATCCATTACTTTCCAGGTGGTACTGGAAAAACTCCTGCGAGGTCAGGAGAGACAATTCAGCACATTTGCCAACCTACATTATTTATTTACCCTTATTATACCAGGTAAGATGACTGAGAACATATTCTCTTTTAAAGCAACAACCTGGGGAAGAGTTATAGGGTGAGGAGAGGGGATGAATGAGCCAATTGGAAGCTAGGTGGCCATGATGGGATGAGTGCCAGATTGGGAATTTAACCAGGACGCCGGGGTTAACACCCCTACATATTATTATCAGGTTACTGCATCTGTCTATATAGCTGCATGTGAGGACACATTATGGATACAGGCCAGGGGGCTATACAGTGCTACACCCTGCTAACGGCTTCCCTCAGATAACCTTGTTGAGCCAATGACGACTTCACTGACAAAGTGAACCAGCATTTTGAGGTCAGAGCATCCCATTAGGAAGACCAGATCAGCAGGGGGTCAATGTTATGTGTAGATTAGAGCAGTGATTCTCAACTGGTGGGTCGCAACCCAAATGGTTATGAATGGGTTGCAAGTGTTTTTGTTTATTTATTTATTTATTTTTATGGGGGGGGGGGGGGAAATAGTCTGAACTTAAACAACTGAAACCAGGTAGAAAGTGTGTAGCAATTATAATGAACCTATAATAATTAACCTATATTTCGTCAATCACAGTATTTTAAATATAGTTATTAGCAGCGCTATTTAGCGGATTTGGTAGATTTTGTGGTCTCAAACCAGTGAGCTTCACATTCTTCATCAAGAACATGGGCAAAATTGAATGATTGACAATGAAAAAGGTGGGACTGTAGTTCCCTTGTCATATAATTGGTAAATTTACTAGCATTAACCATAGTTTTCCAGATTGGAAAATATTGGATCGAGACAGACAACCTGGTTCAATTTGGGTCCCGAGGCAAAACCAGTTGAGAGCCACTGGATTAGTGTGTTAGTTGAGGTTTTACCATACTGGGCAGAGCGAGGTAGGACAGGATGGCCAGGAAGATGACCACGCATGCGGTGATGAAGTAGCCAAAGGCACTGTCCTGCAGGGACGAGCCACCTAAACACACACAGAACACAGGGTCATGAACTGGAAGTGCTTACTGTTCTCATCCTGGGATAGAAGTTATGGACCTGGTGCGAGTGGGAGTGTTATGGACAGTGCTGAGAGCAGTGGTGTGTGTGTCAGACATACTGGCCAGGGCACAGATCATGGAGAAGGCAGCGAAGGTCCCGGCAAGACCCTGTCCACTCATGATGGGTGCAGTGTAGGAGGCCGGCAGCATCCCAGCCAGGCCAAACAGACTGCCCTGCAGTACTGCCCCAAACGCTGGGTAGAGACAGAGGGGAGAAAATTAAGTCAACGTAGAGAGAGAATTAGTGATTGTAGGTGTTGGATATAGGAGGGAGTAATACATCTGAAGCCAAGAGAGGGAGAGAACTTTATCTATGCAACATAAGAAGGGGGGGGGGGGGGCAGAGAGATTGTAAGAAAAAGTAATGATATACTCAAAGAGGAAGATCGAAAGAGGTAGGGTTGGCACATCACAGAGATAAAGCAAAAACAAATGAGAACATCACAGGGGTTGTTTTACATAATAAAACATTATTTAATTCACCCCCTTCCTAGTATACACAGTCTTTACAGGGAGTGTGCATATCAACATCAAAGCATTCCAATTGGGTCACCCTGTCCTCCCCTCTGGCGGAACCTAGACCGTCTGAGAAGCTGCTCCTCATCAGGCATCAGAATCAAACCAACAGGAGAGCAAAAGGGGGGTTAGCATATCCTTGCTGTTCTACGTCCCATTTTAAACAAGCCAACTCCGTAGCAGATGGTGTGAGTGGTGAATGAGTTGAAGTGTGTGAGCTTGGTGTGTTAGGTATGAGGTAGGTTGGGTGGGTCCACTTACAATTGATGCAGATGATTTTGATCATGGTGAGAGAGAAGAAGGGGAGAGGGTCCATGTCCAGTTTGACCAGCACCGCCGTCAACAGAAACACCACCAGGATCACAGACAGGCAGCCGGCGATACGCCAATTCTGAGGGATCCTGGGGGAGAGGTGAGGGGAAGAAAGGAGGATAAAAACAGATGAGACATTCCTAGGACTGTTTAGACAGAATTGGGGGTCACCGATGGATGACTACGGCTGGGAATTGCCAGGGACCACACGATCAGATATTATCACGATACTTTGGTGCCGATACGATATGTATTGCGATTCTCGCAATTCTATACTGCGATTTTATTGTGATTCAAACCTATTGCTCACCATTTGTCTGCTGTAGAGGGAGAAGAGCGCCATGAGAAAATGAGTTTTGATCAGTCATGGAAATAAGTGCTGAAAACAAATTGGCTCCTTATTTATAAAGAAGATGGAGAACAAGCTATGAAGGAAAAATACTAGAATGTTGGTGCAGGTAGAGCAAACTAGCGCAAAATGAATATCCTGATATGTAACTATTTGTAAGTCGCTCTGGATAAGAGCGTCTGCTAAATGACGTAAATGTAAATGTAACTGTATCCATTTTTTCCTCACTACCCCTCGCTGGATCTCTCTATAGCCAACTATAATTAAAGTCAACATACCAATGCCCTATGGAAACAACTGATGGGGCTCTTCAGGGGTAAAATGAGAGGGTGGGGTGAGGATTACAGGATCAAAATGGGGATTAGGTGGTGGGCGTGGTCAATGTTGCTGACCAACATTTTTAGAGGCCCTTCTGTTGGCCGCAGTGACAAAATGTTGCAGTTTAAAAGCACAGAGGTTAGGGTTGGGCGATGTCAACCTTTGTCCTATCGTGATTAAGTAACCATAACACATTGTGATATATAAACACACAGTGGTATCGCCCCCTATTGGCCAACCCCCCACCCCCAAACATTAAACAAAAATGTATAATAAAAAACAAGACAGCTAAAAAGGACCGCTACCACAAGCTTGTTGTAGCTGTGGCATGAAAGTAGTGTGGTGTGCGTGCCGATGCGCAAGAAAGCGTCGCTGGCTGTGAGCCGTGTGATGGGTTGTAAACCAGCTGCAGAGCACACAACTCTGCTGTCTCCAGTACTGGATAATTATTCAATGATTCACATTTTTGCCCAATCTTCCTCTTTTCAGACCTAGGCTTCTATACGTTGCATGTAGGTTCTATACATTGCTAATAATAGGCTATGGAAATAGGCCTACTGACAACATCATTTCTTTCATAAGCTTTGCTCAGCTGTAAGTTCTCTTGACTTCTCATTTGACTTTCCCATCTTGATATTGTTTGCTCAATTTGTGATATTGTTTGATAATATTTGTCATTCAAAATAAAGCTGTGATTGAGAATCGCCTATAGACTGACTTTCACAATTGCTCCCATTTGAAAACTGCAACTTTAGGACATTAAACACTATTAGAATAGCCTATTTGGGAAATACTCTTCATAACTTCAACTTGTCTTAATGCTTTTGATAGGCTATTTTAAATTGGTATGATTTGTCTTTTGGTCATTTGGTTCGCAACAGCAAGGAGGATGGATGCATGCATCATTTATTTGAGACTAAGCCTTGCTCAACTGTAAGGTTTGTTCAAACTACTCGTTAGATTTTTCTATATTGCTATTATTAGTTCTATTTTGCTCATTATTATATTAGGCCTATCATGTTTTTTCATTGTTTCATCATAAAGTATCTTGGTGTGAGGATGCGGGAAAAAGCCAGCATGCATAAAAACTGTAGTCATATTCATATCAAAATTAGGCTTTTAAAATAATTAGACACTGCAGTGTCCACTATAGAAAATGTAATGGGCTTCGACTATATGGCCCAGATCATCTTACATTGAGAGAAAAAAGCAAAAGTATTTCTGACTGGACATTTTGAGCTGCTTTGGAGGAATTCTTAGCTCAGTTAGCTCTCTTGCATTCTGTAAATTGTTTCTAACATATTTATTGAAATTGGTTATGCAGGCTAAAGCAAAGGAATAGGCCAATTGGCATGGCCCTGCTGTGTACTGCCAGGTCAGCTCTTTACTGCGTGGTACCAGTCAAGTTGAAATAGGCTATACATCATCTGTCACATCACAATGTCGTCATCATCGAGGATGGCTGTCAATCATCTTCGATATCCGATACTTTCGTAATATCGCCCACCCTACATGGGGTTGAGAAGAAATGTGGACTTTCAAAAGCCAACTTCCTGCTATTCTACACATGCCAACTTTCTGCTATTCTACACATTTTGCCATGGCTTATGCCATCTGAGTGAATCAAACATAACAATCGACCAAAATACTCCTGAATGGATAATTTTAGGACTGTTTTATTCTCCCTGACTGTCTAGCTTTTATTTGGTTGATTGATAGTTCTCAAAGATGATATTATTTAAAAAAAATATATATAGGTCTATTATCTTTTCTACATACTATATCTGGTTTTAGTGATTTTAAGTTTACACTGAAAATGTTTTTCATCCTGGAAAGACTTTTCCATGCAGAAAAAAACCTTGATTAGCAGAGATACGTTAGGTTTACATGAGAGGCACCGTTCAGGGTTAGAGCTATGGTAGTTTAGGGGAAAGTGAGGGATAAGGGGACATGTGAATAGGCAGGGATTGAGGATAAGAGTGGGGTATCAATTCTAGGTGCTTTTAAGAGGAATGAGGTGTGGTTTGAAGTGAGTCCTGGGTTTCCTAGAGGTTACAGTAGACAGTAGGTTATAGTAACCATTAGTTCTAACTATACCTCTGGTGGATGAAGGAGTTGAGGCAGGTAAAGATGAGCAGGGGCACCATGGCACACAGGGTCATCACGTTGTTGAACTTGGACTCCAGGACGTTCCTCGCGTCTCCCTCCACCACCGTGGCGTTGGCCGTCAGATTGGCTGAGCCCTCGACGGCCGGGTCCTTCAGTCGGCTGGTGAAGTACTAAAGAGAAGCAACATGGTAAAGGAGAGAGAGACTTGGGGGTTAGCTCTTGACCAAAACTAATGAGAGGCAATGTTTTCATAATGCTAGCCTGCTGCCCAGGGCCAGTGCAGGGATTAGGGATATATTGCCAAAAGTTTGAACTCCCCCTGGGATGAACCAGGGGCTTCTAGCGGTTTACAAAAGTGGCCTCAATGAAATATCCTCCCTCGAGGCAGCTCCAGAAGCCCTTTGATTAGAGTAGGTGTATCATTTAAGACCAGTTGTATTACCAGTTTAAAGACTTAGGAAATCAGTATGTGCCTTAACAGCATATTGTTCTACTAGACTACAGCTCCAAGTCTGATTTCTCATGGTTATCATAACCAAGCAGCTGTAGCAGAATGCAGAAGAACAGTTACCATGGTTGCAGTCATGAAGAAATTCCATGGCAGGAGGGTTCCCAAGCCAAGGATGAAAAATATTATCCACACCGCATTATACCTGACAAAAACACATTCACACACCAGTAATGTTAGTATATGTATACTAATTGTATCCATAAAATACATATCCACCTAGCATTGAATGATTCCAGGCAGAAGCAAAAAGTTCTAAGTCAATGCACTCACTTGTCCCGTGGAGCGTTGATGGCCGTCATTTTCCTGAAGTACTGCAGGAACCAGCTCTTTAGTCAAAATGTGGCACGGGTTCTGAAAACAGAAATGTTCATAAATTAGCTTAGTCTTTTTAGAGGCACCTTCATAAAGCAACAATATTCAAGCAAAACATGAGAAAGTTCAGGAAAATGAATTTGACATGCAGTTCTTTTCCTGATGATCTATAATTTTAATTGAATCAAATTAACATAAAATGCAACATTGTGATATTTTCTTAACTTTTCCACATCGTATCTCCAATAATTGATTCACCACCAGCCAGTTACAATCCAATTTCCTGTCTAACTATTGTAGTTTGCCTAAGGGATACTAAGGGAAAACCTACAGCTTCAGCAGGTACTTGATCTCAAATATCTGTTTATGGTTAGGCTACTTTTTTCTTTTTTCTGACCAAATAGACAGAAGCGCATGTCAGCAATATGACATCTCAGACAAACAACATAAATTCCTAACTACTACATTTGTAACTGAAAGATACAAACCAAGTTCTTGCTTACCAGGAAAATGTAGTCTTAATTTAAGATAAGCAGCATGTCTACCAGTGGTTATAACGGCTGCCATTACACCAAACCACAAAGTAGCCTATGCAGTTTCAGCATTTCATAATATGACACAAAAAGCCAGAAGACAACCTTCAAAACCTTATCAAGTACGATACTGTGTCATCTCAACAAACCAAAACATTGCAGCCAAATATGCACATAATTCAAATGTATCATACAAGCCAGCCACAGATTAGTGTACTATAATCAGCACTATTTTCTTCTGAGAAACATTTATTTTGAATTACACTTAGTTAGACAAGTGCAGGGTTAGCCGAAATGTAAGATTTGATTTACTGAAAGGAGGGACTGGTTGCTGAACAGAATTTCATTTTATACATGGAAGGAAGCCTTGGTTAAGAGGTGGTCTCCAAATAACATCCAAACGTCCTTCCTAATCCCAATATTCTTACTGGCCCCACCCATCCTCACTCCTCCCATAGCAACTCTTCTACCGCTCTCTGATAAGACATCTACACACAGATACTTCTGTGACGTCTTTGAGTCCCTCTAAATCAAAAAGCCCAAGTTCACTGTACACAGATGGCTGTGCAGAACTCCAAGCATCCCAAAAGCCCAAACAGGTTTAGGCTATCTCACAATGCGTCTCATAAGCATTGCCATAAGTTCTGGATGCCATTAAGGAACAGACTAAGCCTCTTTAAATGAAAATGTGCCTAATAGATACTGGAGTTGTGAGGAGGGAATGGTCATGGGAATGCACTGTGCCATTGGTTAAGAGTATTGAATGCAGCTCATTGTGCGTGTTCTACCCTGGACAATACTTCAGAATGTTTCACTGGGATCACCGTGGGAACCCACAATCCACTAATAGGATGGACTGTGTGTGTACTGTAAGCTATACAGTACCAGTCAAAGGTTTGGACACACCTTCTCATTCAAGGGTTTTTCTTAATTTTTCAAAACTATTAAATAACATATGGAATCATGTAGTATGAAAAAAAAAATGTATGCACTCAGTAACTGTAAGTCGCTCTGGATAAGAGCGTCTGCTAAATGACTAAAATGTTTTAAAAATGTAGTAACCAAACTATATTTTAGATTCTTCAAAGTAGCCACCCTTTGTCTTGATGACAGTTTTGCACAATCTTGGCATTCTCTCAACCAGCTTCATGAGGCAGTCACCTGGAATGCTTTTCCAACAGTCTTGAAGGAGTTCCCACATATGCTGAGCACTGGTTGGCTGCTTTTCCTTCACTCTGCGGTCCAACTCATCCCAAACCATCTCAATTGGGTTGAGGTCGGGTGATTGTGAAGGCCAGGTCATCTGATGCAGCACTCCATCACTCTCCTTATTGGTCAAATAGCCCTTACACAGCCTGGAGGTGTGTTTTGGGTCATTGTCCTGTTGAAAAACAAACGATAGTCCAACTATGCGCAAACCAGATGGGACGGCGTATCGCTGCAGAATGCTGTGTTAGCCATGCTGGTTAAGTTTGCCTTGAATTCTAAATAAATCACAGACAGTGTCACCAGCAAAGCACCCCCACACCTCCTCCTCCATGCTTCACGGTGGGAACCACACATGCGGAGATCATCCGTTCACCCACACAGCGTCTCACAAAGACAACATTTGGACTCATCAGACCAAAGGACAGATTTCCACCGGTCTAATGTCCATTGCTCGTGTTTCTTGCCCCAAGCAAGTATCTTCTTATTGGTGTCCTTTAGTATTGGTTTCTTTGCAGCAATTCGACCATGAAGGCCTGATTCACACAGTCTCCTCTGAACAGTTGATGTTGAGATGTGTCTGCAATTTATGAGGCTGATAACTAATGAACTTATCCTCTGCAGCAGAGGTAACTCTGGGTCTTCCATTCCTGTGACGGTCCTAATGAGAGTCAGTTTCATCACAGTGCTTGATGGTTTTTACGATTGTACTTGAAGAAACTTTCAAAGTTCTTGAAATTTTCCGGATTGACTGACCTTCATGTCCTAAAGTACTGGTGGACTGTCGTTTCGCTTTGCTTATTTGAGCTGTTCTTGCCATAATATGGACTTGTCTTTTACCAAAGATAATCTAAAATATATTTTGATTTGTTTAACACCTTTTTGGTTACTACATGATTCCATGTGTTATTTCATAGTTTTGATGTCTTCACTATTATTCTATAATGCAGAAAGTAGTAAAAATAAAGAAAAACCCTGGAATGAGTAGGTGTCCAAACATTTGACTGGTACTGTACATGTGAGCATACTTATTGTTAGGGACCATTGTAGAGGTTGACAAACATAGTAATGGCTCTGCTGTGTTTAATTATGACGCTACCAAGTGGATTCTTATCATGTGCTTGGTTCTCAGAGATTGTTGTCTCCAAGGTTATTATGTGAACAGCACAGCGGTGCACCCTAGATTTTTCCATTATTTTGCTTAACCGCCTAGTCAAAATCTAACTAGCATAATAAAAACATCCATCTGTTTAAGCTAGAGATGTTTTTTTTTGCATGGGCTGAGTCTCAACCCACCGCATCCGCTGATGTCAGCCATCCGCTTCTGCTGTGAAAGTTGGCAGAGCTACAGCGGTGTTTGTCAGACCATGAGATCCCGAAAATCAGTCTCCCCACGAATATGTCTGGCCTACAAAACGACACTATTTTTGATCAAACGCAACATGCAATAATTGCAAAGATTTTACTGAGTTACAGTTAAAATCAAATGTAATCAATTTTAATGAATTAGGCCCTAATCTATGGATTTCACATGACTGGGAATTCAAATACCTTGCAAAAAAAGGTAGGGGCGTGGATCAGAAAAACAGTCAGTATCTGGTGTGACCACCATTTGCCTCATGCAGCGCGACACATCTACTTCGCATAGAGTTGATCAGGCTGTTGATGGTTGCCTGTGGAATGTTGTCCCTCTCCTCTTCAATGGCTGTGCGAAGTTGCTGGATATTGGCGGGACCTGGAACACGCCGTCATACACGTCAGTCCAGAGCATCTCAAACATGCTCAATGGGTGACATGTCTGGTGAGTATGCAGGCCATGGACGAACTGGGACATTTTCAGCTTCCAGGAATTGTTTACAGATCCTTGCGACATGGGGCTGTGCATTATCATGCTGAAACATGAGGTGATGGCAGCGGATTAATGGCACGACAATGGGCCTCAGGATCTCGTCACAGTATCTCTGTGCATTCAAATTGCCATCAATAAAATTGTGTTCATTGTCCGTAGCTTATGCCTACCCATAACATAACCCCACCGCCACCATAGGGCACTCTGTTCACAACATTGACATCAGAAAACCACACAACGCCATACACCCCGTCTGCCATATACCCGGTACAGTTGAAACTGGGATTAATCCGTAAAGAGCACACTTCTCCACTGAAGTCGGTTACGACGCCAAACTGCAACCAGGTTAAGACCTTGGTGAGGACGACGAGCACGCAGATGAGCATCCCTGAGACGGTTTCTGCAGACATTATTCTGTTTTGCAAACCAACATTAGGAAGGTGTTCCTAATGTTTGGTATACTCCGTGTATATGGAAGTAGTTTAGTGCCTAAAAGAAAAAAGGGGTTAAATGTGTAAAAAATATTTTTTATAATTTCCTGATCTTTCTTATATCGCAAAAAAAAAAGAACCTTCCTTTTGATATTTTTTGACTGTGTTTCCATGTATGAATCTATTATTCAATGTGTTTCTATAGGCTAATAGCAGTACAGCCAAATTCAATGTTTCATCAAATAATTTTGTTATATATTTTTTGGGACACCTAAAGGGGTCCTAAAATTCAAAATCAAATAGCTAAATGCACAGAGACAAATTAAAATCAGGAATGTTGGAATTAGGCCAATCCCAATATTTAAGTGGACTTCTAATACTCAAAAGTGAACCCAGACAGACCAACAGTGGATTTAACGAGCTAGGCCTAATTATTTCTCAATAGCGTGTTTCATTGCAAAACTTGATCAGTGGAAGGACTGACTAATATGAGCCGCAAGGAACAAGTTAGTAGCCGCGGAAGGAATGGTGACTGATTGGGTTAGGTTATCTGTAGCACTGATTAGGAGCCCAGCTGCAACATTATAAACTGTCATTATTAAAGTAGCCCCATAGCATTTACTAAGTATTTATAGCTGTAGCTACCATTCTACTACATTTTTATAGGCATTGGTAAACAAAACTACAGCGGCTAAACTTTGTACAGTTCTGCAATTGTTGCATTTGACTCTTCAGCATCCTAGATAAATATTGTCCCCTTTGTCTCTGGACTTGAATGGCCTTTGAGGACAGGTCGGTCCACACTGAAATGCGGATAGGATTTCACTCTCTTGGCCCCTGCTAATCGTTGAAATCCAGCACAATCTAATAAGACCAAACTTTATTACAGCCAATTGAGACTGTGTGTCACATGGTTGAAGCAGGAATCCGATTGGAGGTACCCAGCTCCTGTTCATTCTGTCTCACTC